ATAGCACGCGAAATTCGTCGAGAGAAATGACGGAGAGAGATTTAGAAGAAGGAGAAGAAATTATCTTCACATTAGATGAAAGACCGTCGCCCTTGCCGAAATCAAACCCGGCGGCGGTAACGAGACCAACGCATACGTATACAAATAGTGATACGAGTGTTATGACGCTGAGTCCGAGTGTTTATGATGGTGGTGCGAGTAAAGGGAATTCGAAGCAGGGCAAGGGGAAAGGGAAGGGACCTTTTAGATTTTCGATTGGGAAGGCTTATTGATTGAGCGTCTCGTAGTACAATGAGCAAAGATACTTTGTAGTTTTATTAGATATTTTATTTTCTTTTACTTTTGTATTAGGCTAGGTTAGGTTGGTAGTTAGGGAGAAGGGAAGGGATAGGAAAAAGAGGGCAGGATACCAGAGATTTTAGAAGATCGTTTTATTTTATTTTTGGTTATTGTATATGAATAACGAACAAAACCTTTGGGGTACAAATTATCTATTCAAAGAAAATGACTTTCATGAACAGTGATTTCATAAGAATGATAGTTTTTGTTGCTACAATGCTTTTCTGTTTCGAGCTGAAGTCGTATTTAACCCGAATCATCTGACGTTGTTGGCGGAACAGTAAGTTCAGTACTAATTTCTCGCTGTGTGTCTACTTTCCGCGTTGTCTCGCGATGAGGAACATCATAATTTGAGCTATAGAGCCACGGACAGTTGTATCGTCGTAAAGAGCTCTGGAGAGAACACTGTATATCCACAGGTAATAAAGTCGCACGTGGATCCCGAGATCACACATATCCAAGCCTTCTATGTATCCGCGTGTAGCATTTTGTTTAAAGTCGACATGAATCTCAAGGTGCCTTTGTCCTGCGCCAAATGCGGGGTCCATTTAGTATCAGTGATTCTCGGTTACTTCAGTTATTTAAAACTGGTCAAGCTGGGATGGGGATGAGATCGGTATTACTTGACACAGGCAACTAGAATAGTTCATGTCAGCAATCATGAGATATGGTATGAGGGATGAAAAACGAGATACTTTTGACTTGTGAAATGTTGGATGTAGATCTCATGTGGGAATAAAAACATACTTGCCGTCTTTATTCTCGTTTTTGTTGTCGATTCGCTATTGGATTTTGGTACTGCTATATCTTCACACATGCGAGCTAATCACCAGTTGCTCAATATTTTCTCCCTAGCTGATTATTTTAAGCGTCAAGCAAAAGACTAATTATCTACCATTTCGAAATCGTCAATAGTAAGGATTACCTTGTATTTTGAGTATCATCCGAACCAATGTTCAATATCTCTTATTGTCGTCCCAACTCGGCTGGTGGTGTCGCTCTCACATCACCTCCACGAACTCCCGAGATGAAAACCTTAACACCCCATAATTCCGCATCTGTAAGACCACCATCATCAACCAATTTGGTGCTTATTGATATCACTATGCTTATACGATACAGACTTGCACCACCACTCACAGCATGTGAAAAGATGAGTGTCATATTACACTTTTTGTCTTGACTGGAAGCTTTTATCATGCTTGCGCTGGGTTTCTAGCTCACAAGATGCGCTGATGGCACTTGCCACTTTTAGCGATTCACTATCAAGTCTCCGAAGATGGAATCATGCGCTTATGTGGAGCACACTTCAACCATTGAGGCTGGTGCATTTCTCTTTGATTTTCGTCTCCAGGACTTGCTATAAAGACTTCAGGATGCAGGCTGTTTGTTCAATAATTGCAAAGCATTGTCCATTTGCAAACACTGAAATGGATGGCACTGTTTAACCGCTAGTGCGCAACGAGATGGTGGGATTTGGCGGAGCCCGAATATAAACTAGGAAGTACACCATAATTGATCTTAATCCGAGCCATTCTCTCTGTATCAACTGAGAGAATTTTGTGTTCCTAAACGGAACCACATTAGTTCTATGTGCTCTCGGTCTTGGAAAGGCGAGACGAACAGACAATCTATCTTAGCCACCAAATAAAAACGCATCGTCCGAGAAATTCTTCTTAATGGCAGGCAGCTCACGTTCTCATGTGGAATATTTATGAGAAATTTTTTTGTTTGAGGCTGTCAAGGTACGATTCACTAAGTGACAGAAAACAAGAGACGTAGTGTATGCGGGGTGAATACCACGGAAGTAAGTAAGACTGCCCTGCCCTGCTCAAGCACATGAGGTTGCCCACTCGCGTAAAAGATTTGTAGAAAAACAGCATAAATACTTCTTGTCCTTCCCCTCAAACTTGAGAAATGACCCAAGCAAAGAGATCGAAAACGAAAAAGTGTAGGGTGACTTCGTAGCAATTTTTGATCTCCAATCTTCAAAGTCCAATAAACACCACTTCGGGAGAGAAGGACAAAGAGATCAAACGCTGGGAAATACGAGCATTGTCAAGTTGCAACTTTTGTCGCCATACTTGTTATGGGGTTCAGACGAATAAATCTTGCTGTCATTTTCTAAATATATTATCAGATCGAAGCTCACTTGAGCCTCGAAACATGCCATCTCAAGAATGAGAAGGCGCAACGCGAATAACGAAGAAGGACTTTCAGACCTTCGAGCTTTGGCGCACCCTTATTTAGAATAGCTATTAAGTAGTCGAAGGTGATTTTCTCAATCGGTCGCAAGAGACACGACTTAAATATTAACAGACAGGAAAAATGTTTGATTTGCGGCGCAGGTGAGTAGTGAATTCACTTGTCCCACTGAGACCACAGGAGCTGCTCATTATCCTTTTGGGGGCGAATCATCATATCCGTAACAACGAAACGGTGAATCTCTGCAAACTTTTGGTTTTATCAGGAAGAGGCTTACTCAAAAAATGAACTGTGTCTAATTTACAAGTCACAAAGATTACATTCTCCACCCCCACAATGTTGAGGCAAGGGGTAAGTTCTTATCCGAGACCCAGTTTTATTCCCCGCAATCAACCTCTGTGCAAATCCTCCACCAAAATTCACAATCCTCAAGCAGTAGAAATGCAAGCCACTACAGTCGGCATAGTAATCCGAGCCTCAAGAATGGATGAAAGCAACTCCGTTGAAAAGCGTAGGTTAAGTAATCTGTATGTTCTCTTCCCAAATATTTCAGTTCCACTTACTTATGCTCATCATCATACAAACAAACAATTGCAAACCATCAATTGAAATCTCATATCAAAAACCACCACAATGGCCGTCAAAAAAATCCTCCTCCTCAATGGTCCAAACATCAACCTCCTTGGGACTCGTGAGCCCCACATCTATGGTTATGACACCCTCGCCTCCATCGAATCCTCTCTCACCACCTATCTCTCCTCTCTAACACCGTCCGTCACTCTTCTAGCCTTCCAAACTAATTGGGAAGGAGCGCTTATCGATCGTATCCACGAAGCACGCACTGATGGCACCGATGCTATCGTTATAAATCCTGGTGCTTTCACACACTATAGCATAGCGCTGCGAGATGCGTTGGCTGGTGTTGATATTCCATTTGTGGAGGTGCATATTAGTAATGTGCATAAGAGGGAGGAATTTCGTCATAAGAGTTTTTTGAGTGACAAGGCGGAAGCTGTTATTTGTGGGTTGGGCGTTTATGGGTATAGAGCAGCGGTGGAGTGGTGTGTAGGATATTTGAAGGAGAAGCCAAAAGCGTGAGGAGAGGGACGGTCAAAATTTGATGCGGAAGAGCATAACATCAAGTGTATATCTAGATATGTAGAATTTCAAAGAAAAATATATTCAACAACCTTAAAACTCATTGAAAGAGACGAGTTGAACAAACTTCCGAGTGGTAGTCTTTCTCTCAGACATCTCCAGCCATCCCGGGAATTCCGGGTTTCCAAGCCAAGTATAAAATCCGATTTCTGGAGAGCCCTCATAAGTTTTTGACCCAGATTGTAAACAGTTCGACTTGTGTATTTGTTAATGGAGAGCGGGAAATCCGGCTTTGGGCTAAAAATTAGTAGCATGTGGTATGCATCAGGTATCAATTCCCGGAATATGAAATCCATGGTGTTTCTATGCAATATATGTTATTTTGATTGCCAAACTTCATATCCCTTTAGCGATGTATCTTCAGTCCAACGGTGGAATTTTCATAATGACAACAAGAGTTTATAACGGCCATTTCGAAGTAAGTGTACAGGCTAAACTTCGAATTTGATTTGTAGCTTGATCATCCTATCAATTTCAATCCTCCAGGAAGTATATTTTAATGAAAAGATACTCTACCAAAGCTCTCGCCTATGCTCGCATGTCCTCAAAGACCTTTAGACTTTTGATACCGAATTCTAAACACACCGGTGTCTTATTTATACCCAGGATTTGTAGTCAGGATTTTGATAATCCGGGGAATAGCTCAAGTCGATTTTCGGAATAGAAGTTGACTCTGGGATCATCTATTGATATAAAATGCAACTGAAATTATTCCCGCATTCTTAAAGTGTTTCCTGATGATCCAGAAATGGACAAGGGCTGTAATGATAGACGCAGATTATGCAGAGATATTATGAGAGAACTCAATCAACTTTCGTTATTACGCGCAATTGTGTGAGGAGTTGCAAGGAACTTTTTCTCGGTTGTCGTTCGAGTGTATACGACAATGTGGGACAGTGTGCATGATATTACATGATATTGACAAAATTATTACATGGAATTGACCATTCTTTAAATTTAGTGCTTGTCGTACTCGGGCACTATGGTCTTCTCCGGTCCCTTTACAGGAAGCATGGAAGAAACATCCCCAAGTATCATAGAGGTTGAGCTTTCAATCAGGTGGTTTGGTATCCAATTTATACCTCGATCATGAGGATATGAGTAAGAGTATAACAAGGCTCAGATAACCGTAAGCCGTTTTACCGGAGCTTGGGATTAGTATCGCTACAAGTGAATAAGAATATTACACCGAGCTTTATAAACAGCATTCGAACTCACTCAAGCCTCACCATCAAACCCAGAATCTGCCAGGAAAATGGTTGTGGATTTAGTAAAAAGTTGTAGCGATGTCCCGAAAAATGCCGAGAACATCTTCAAGGCTCTCGACCTGTCCGAAACTCACTTCTCATTTCTCTGAGTATGACAGTGATGACAATGAAGATCCAAAATTAGCGACAAAATTACACAAATCAACCGTGTTTCAAGATTTGAAACACCTACAGAGGCCACGATCTCGTCAATACCGTCATCATAACATTTTGCCCGAACGAAGAAACACCAGAGCCTTGAAAAAGCCTGAGGGCGAATTTGAGTATTCTTTGCAGGTCTCTCACAGGCAGGTATGTAGTCTTATATATACCCTGGTTTTGAGAATGTCAGGCTTACAAGGTGAGCTTGATCCGAATTCTAAACTTCAAGTGAACTAACATGTCTTATCTCGGATATGGCTGATGGATCCATTTCGAGTAGTATAAAGACAATGAGCTTTGGTACCATCTTTTCTCAGGCAATCCCAATGAATAAAACATCTTCCCTAGTCAGGATGATATTCAGCATTACTTATTCAAATTCCTACGAGTTGGGTAGTACTGAGTATACACTGCAACATGAGTGGATTGATACTTGGGGATTTTATTCGGACTCGTACTTTTTAAAATGACAGCGAGATACATATGACGAAAGCCATAAGCCGCGTCGACAGTAAAATTTCGTCTTTGAGGTATTCTCTAAGAGCTGATATACACAGGAGTTTTTCCACTTATGCCCTACACCCATGAAAATTGCAGTTGAGTCTGATCCAGAACAAACTTCTGCGGAGATCATGACGGTGTCCTCCGCATCAGCCAACTTTCCATCCTGCTCGAGCCATAGCCTGTTCGTCTTTCAAGGCAGTTTTCTTATACCAACCCCAGGAATGTATTTTTTGTCGAACACCAAAACTCATATCAGTTATTATGTTCTTCTGATCAATGCCTTAATTTTATACTCAGCATAAACTCCACTGTGGTAATTCGTTGCAAGTAAATAAAAATGCATTGTTGTCCTCTAATAGCCGATTTGAAGGTAGCACTGTGTTTGTGGATACACTCATCTAGCTCTCAGTCAAAGTATATAAACAAGTAGGCCTATCGATTCAGCAATGTAGGGGTAGCAGTGACACCTTTGCAACAACGGAAAGGAGAGATTAGACCAAGCACCAGATATAAAGACCGAAATTACCCCAATGACCAGTGGCTTCGAGGTAAGAGCGAAGATACAAGCAGGATAAATCCAATCCTCCATTCTAGTCAATTCCCGAGTTTGTTATTTCGACAGCGAGGATTTAAAAATGATAGCGGAGTTCATACATGACAAAGCGGCTGCGCTCGATGAGAATATTTTTACTAAAATATATAATTACATAATTCCTTTTTCATTCCAAGATTGACCCAGTATATTGCCTCCTAGTACGGAACTCTGTATCGAAGCCAGTAGGAATATCCATATATCTATCGGTGGGATTGTTGAGCTCCATCTCAACAAACTATTCAGATATTAGTAGTGAAACTCAAAATAAATTGCATTTGATGAGCATACCGGGTATGTATTCGGAAGACGGGGTTCTGAGTGTCTATCCGGATAAAAAAATTCTGTCTTGGGCGCAAGGATTTCTACAAGGCTAGGCGACTCTTCGTTCGTGGTAAGGGAATGATACTTCTGATTATGTTTATTTAGGAGAGCTCGTGTAACAAACCCTATCGTGAAATAAGCACATGAAGAATGTGAGCATCGATACCGACGTTGATGATGTGACTCGTGCTTGTCCCGTTGAGAAAAAGTTTCGAAGCCATCAACATTATGGACACAATTTACTTATCGGCATATGAAGACTGAGGCGCCATAAGTCTCTCGAAGAACTTGGATCCATTTCACATAATTCCAGTGAGATTTCTGCCAAATTTTAGACCAAGATTGAACGTCGAAAGGTGCACTTACTTTCAGGAGATTTGTCTAAAGCAGCCTCTGAGTGCAACTTCGACCGGGCTTTGAACCCAAGAATATCTAACAACAAACTTTTGATTTCAGGAAAATGACTTAAGCCTTGCAAACTCTGATTTTCGGTGATAGCTCCAATCTTTTCTAGTGTGTCTTTTAAGGGGATAGTTTCTTTCCTATAGCGTAATAAAGATCGCAGTTGATGTAGAAGCTCTGTGGAGAGTTGAGCATGCTTCTGAAAATATTCTAGGAGATGTTTGTACCAGAACGTAATGGCATACGTGAGCAGACCATGAAATCCTTTTACGACAACAGCAGCCCTTTGAGCTTCCGTGAAGTTACTTGGAATTAAATTATCGCAGGAATTCAGTATGGCGACGCAAGAGAAAGAGATGTTGAGATGTGCGCTTTCACGTGACAGAAATGGCAGCTTCTCTTGATACTCTTCGTCAAGTAGATATCTATAAGAAGTCAGCCACCTTATCCTTCAATTTTAGGGATCTCAAGGGGTTTGCTACTCTTTTGCTGAGAAATGCACGAATTCGACTGTATTTGCAGGGCCCTCTTCTATAAGAGGACGACAGAGATCCAATGCTCTTTTTCCGATTTTTGTTTTAGACGTAAGAGTCCAATTTGAACGATCAAGTGCAACTCCATCAAGTATCTCGTAGTTTTTAAGTACTCGATATGAACATGCCATCCATTCTAGAATACGTATAGCCATAAATTTTGCCGTCTCGGGGTTGCTAGGATCCATGATTCTGTCGAGAATTCGACCATACCTAGTAGATATCAATTACATGCTCTGGTACAACGAGTGGTATCTTACGCCGCCTTCAAACCTTTCGGTAAGCCCATAGCTGTTCTTTCCAATGCTCCGTCACTGTAGCAAAATTTGAGCTCGTCTAAAACTAGCCGAGCCCATAAAAACATACCTAACGATGTTAGTATCGCTGTTTCTTTTATGGCATCAAACTTGTTTACCATTCGCCTTTTCCACCAAAGTTTTTTCAATTCTCTCCAATAAGTCCTGATCGGAAGTGTCAAGTTTGGATATTTTGAATTTCAGGTAAGAACGAATGTCTTGATTGACTTCTTGGCGGCTGTCTAGAGAGATGTAGGGTTGTTTGAGAAGCTTTTGGCGAATGTGTGCTTTTTTTCGACTAGAAAATAAAACCTTGCATTGCAGCGCTGGACCAATACAAATAGTGCGGAGTTCTTTCAATATCACTTTTTGATCTTCCTTTGAACATTCATCCAAGCCGTCTATAACGATTCTTGTAGAAGCTGTGGGACTAAAGTTCTGAGCTGAGTCATTGTACAGTCTACCCCTCGATAGACAAACTCATTGGCAACCAGAGTGGAAATCTCATGGTGCTGCCTAAGAAGTTGAATCGCAACGGTTGTTAGGATCTGCTGGCAAACATTGCCAGAGCTGCGACCGTCACAATAATAATAGCACGTAGTCAATCCAGGCCTCTCTATCAATCTTTGGATTATGTACGAGCATATAACGCTTTTGCCTTGAGTAATGGAATTAGCCATATTATTACCTTCGAAATTTACGGAATAGGGACAAACCTGATCCTGGCTTTCCATGAAGCCACAGGCACGGATCTTCTGTGTTATTCTCCATCCAACTCTTAAATTGCTGTTCCCCTGCCATCCATTCGCACGTCTTATCATGACGCTTTTTGGAGATTCTGTCATGCTCGGTTTCTTGATTCTTCCCATCAAGAGTGAACCATGCAATAGCATGTTGCAAACGATTAGCTTTCGCAATCTTTTCATTCTCTTCGACCATTTCTAACTCTCGCTTCTGTCTCAGCTGTATGTCGTCTTGCATTTTTACTCGTGACTCTCTTGACTCGACGATATCAAAAGAAACGGCCTCTATGTCGATAAAGTCTCGATGTTTCTTTAAAGAATTGATGATAGAATCAAATCGGCTCCCGAAATCCTTCCAAAAGGAAAGAAAGATAACATGCCAAGCTATATTCTGTTTTCAGTACCAGTAAAAAGTCTCAGAATTGATCGACTTACCTCTTTGTCGAAGAAATTTGTAAGCACGCTGATGAAATTCCAGAATGTTAGCATATAAAGTAGCAAGGGATTGCTGAAATTCGACATTATCATCAAATGCCTTTTGATATCGGTCGAATCGTGGTAAGGCTTCACCAATGTCAACATATGCTGAGATCAAAGCCTCAAAAATATCACGATGGTGGCTCGCGATCTACTAAAGAATAAGCTTGAAGTCTGTACACAAATCATGAGATACCAACCTGAAGCATAAGCTTGATTGGAGCCTATCTAATAATTATCATCATGATTTTCTTCATTCGATTAGGTAGAAGGGCACGAACCCATATGAACGACAAATAAGGTGTGCCATTGCATAAAGTTTCAACTATCTTCGAGTACTTTTCAACACCTCGCAAGAAAGGTTCGATACGGCGTAGATTCTGACCAGATTGCCGTTGTCTTTGTGTGCTATCGATCTGGCGAACAGCCAACCACAAATCTTCTAACTCTGTTGAGGCGAAGTTATGCGCATCTTGTTGGAAGATTGAAGATTTGAGCCTCTTGAACGCACCAGCAATGGTGTCCTGGGGGCTTGCCATGAGGTCTCTATAACAGTATGATTTACTCTGTATCGAGGAATTATGTTCTATTGGGAGTTGAAAGCGACCGAAGAAATTCGTCAGCTTTTCATGGTATTTGCATTAGTTAAATGGAATTCAAGGCGTTCTGCAAGGCTTCCGTGATGAAAGTTAAGTTGCACCGCATGAAGGCTTAGCTAAAAGGTGCAGTGAGGCTGGACATACGTGGAAGTTTGCTGTGAACTTCTCATTCGTCGGTTATCTCCAGTGTAGTATGCTGTAGGGATTACTTGACTCGCTAACGGTGCTGACGGAAACAGTTGGCATGCAGGACATCCACTCCTCAGGAAATCGTACTGGCTCACTTTATTCTGATACCACAACACTTGTTTTACTTCATCCACTATATAATCGTTACTGAAATAAATGAATTAACTGTCAACCAGCCTTATCAAAACATTTAATTCTCTAGCTGTTCATTGCTGCGGTATTTTCTTTAATTCACGAGTAGTATACCTCTAGATGAAGCAAACTTTTCAATCTTGACGATGTCTTACGAAGAACGACCAGCCAAGCGTATGCGGGTTAGCAATGCTGGTAACCATGAAAGCGAGATCAGAGCAGATGAGGTGTACTCGCCCACCGTTGAAAACTCGAATGCCCTAGGAACGGTTGAGCGGGAAGCATACGAATGTTGTTATGGGATGGTAAACAAGATTTGAACATCTCTAAGACCATTTCAAAAATTAATGACAGACTACATAGTTAAGCGACATCGCTGTAAAGAAACTATGCAGTTCAGAGACGCATTCAAATCCTATACATGTCGAGTTTCGTAGTCCTAATCATCTTTCTTCAGGTGATGATAAGCACTCAACTACCTTCGACATATCGGACTTTGCATCGGCCAAAATCCTCAATGACTTGGCAAGTGTTCCAGAGATCAAAATGCAGTTGTACTGCCATTCAAAGATTGAATTCGGCCATGGCGGACACAGTCGACGGATGATCAAACGTTCTGAAAAATTGCGTGCACTGTGGTTTTTGAACGTAATCATCTTTGGTCCAGAACGTTTTGCTGAAAAGATAGGAGAATACTTATCAATCAGGAAGATGTATCTTCAAGATACACTTGGTTGTGAACGGTGCGTTCCGTACCGTAATCCCCATGCTATGACCCCCGACACGGGTGAAGTTGTGATGACAGATTTATCTATCTTGGCTCCTGGACATCACGATACAGAGGAATTGAAATCCGGACCAGATCTTCTAGCGCTGTTGATGGAAGGGGAGGCTCCTTTGAGAGAGACAGAGGCACCCAAAATGGTGAAGACTTCCTTATTCAGGTAAATTACTAGCACATTCATAAGGCATCGTCTACAGAGACTTATGGTATCTTCATTATAGGCATCAAAAGCAAGCTCTGACTTTCCTGCTGCGTCGCGAGGAAGGTTGGAATTTTGATGATGCAGCTTCTGACATATGGAGTTGGCGGAGTGATACATCGGGGCGATTAAGGTACACCTCCTCATTCTTCTAATCAATTTCTGTGTTGGCTGAAACTATTAGTTACGTGAACAATGTGACCGGATACAGCACATGTGAAGCTCCTCCAGAATTCCGAGGTGGCCTACTAGCGAATGATATGGGATTGGGCAAGACGCTCACCATGATATGTTTAATAGCTCCAAACCAAGCTTGCTTGGATTATGAATTACCGCAAGCTCATCATCGTTCTTCTGAATTGAGGCTTTCGAATATGTCAAAGGCTACACTACTTATTCTACCTCCAGCATGTATGTTTTAGTCTATGGTAAAGGAGTTCATTTTCCAATTCTAACGCAAGATTAGTGATACAAGCATGGGAGCATCAGTTTCGATTGTAAGTCTATGCAAAGCTGCGTGGCATGCTGCGGTACTAAACTATCCAGACATCTTGAACCGCGAGCACTAGCATGTCATATCTACCATGGCAACAACAAAAAAAGTATAGACTTTCTCAGACAGTTCGATGTTGTCATCACTACATACCACACTATTGCGGCTATTTGGAAGCACCACAGCGCTCATCCAGATGATGAATCTTTGTACTCTTTCACTTGGCATCGCGTAGTTCTAGACGAAGGTGAGTGCAGTATGTAGTACAAGCTTCGGGCTTATATCTAACTTCAATAGCTCATATCATCAAAAACCCTCAGAGCCAGCTAGCTCGAGCTTGTTATGCTCTCAAAGCAACAAGACGCTGGGCGATAACCGGAACTCCTATCCAGAACAAACTTGTGGACTTCGCCAGCATTGTAAAGTTTCTGCGCGTTTATCCGTATTCCGATACAAGAACTTTTTCAGAAGAGATTACCAAGCCATTTAGGAATTCTCCTCGATGGATGCTAAAGGACTTTTACGACTCAAAACACTTGTGCGGGCTATTACCATTAGTCGCACGAAGACAGTCATTGAACTTCCATCACGAGTTGATGAGATACACCGTCTCGATTTTACGTCGGCTGAGCGAGAGAAGTACGAGGCTGAGAAAGTGCGAGCGAGAGTGTTACTGGAGAGAGCAATCTCTTCTGGGAACCAGAGTGGAAAAATATTCAATGCGCTGTCACTACTCAACCGACTAAGTCTGATCTGCAATCACGGCATGTTACAACTTACGCCTACTATTGATCATATAGTGTCTCAAGAAAGTGAAGTTGTTGCTTGTTGCTCCATGTGCGGCGACTATCTACAGGAAGAGGTCTTTGGTGGCCCTTTTCCCTCGGGTATTGATACTCAACGTCAACCATTATGCGAACAATGTATTCTTCAAGAAGGAGACAGCTGTGACCGATCTCCGAGTAACAGTTCAGATTGCCCAGATACAGCAGAAGATTTGAGATCTGTGACACCGCCAACAGCTACAGATACTGCATTTTCTATCCAACACATGTCGACAAAAATCAAAGCGCTTTTGGCAGATCTCCATAAATACAAGAATGCCGAGAAAAGGTTGATATATTCCAATAAGACCTAAAAGTATCTCAGAAACTAACGTGTGACAGTGTCGTGTTTTCATACTGGACTAATACACTTGATCTTGTGCAAATGATGTTGGATAACCAAGGAATACGCTACACAAGAATTGATGGGACAATGTCCCTGTCCAAAAGAAACGAGGCTTTAGGTGCATTCAAGAACAAAGATACCGTTCGCGTAATTCTTGTCTCAATCACTTGTGGCGGCGCAGGGTGAGTTATATCCATTGCAAGTATTAGTTTTAGCCACTAATGAGTATGAGCAGGCTCGATCTTACCACTGGGTCGAGAGCATATCTTCTCGAGCCACATTGGAACCCAATGATTGAAGAACAAGCTCTCTGTCGTGTACATCGAATTAGTCAGAAGCGTAATGTGACTACCATTAGATATTTGATGCATGATTCGTTCGAAGAGGTAAGTTTGCTCACTTTATGTCTTCTATTGAGACGGGATTTGATGAGAGCTCCTGGTCAAACTTATGATATTCTAACAGCTTATAGCAAATTGTGGATCTTCAAAAGAGAAAGAAGATGCTTGCAGATGTTACGTTTAGTCAAAATTGTATCTCAGAGGCTGGCGTCGATATGGGTATTTTACAAGTATGTTTCCCAATTGAACTTTCATATCTCGTTTGTAATTCTGACAGCTATACAGTACTTGAGATCTGTTCTTGAGTAATATTATAAGATAGGTCTGAGATTATTGTTCAGTCATACAATCGCACCTTATAAGATATTAATATCTAGCAAGAGCCAAATCCATAATAATGGACTGCAGGTTCGCTATCGTCAAGTCAGGATACTTTCCCCGCCGGCTTGGACTATGTTCCTGCGCCAGTAAATCGAGGTATATACTCGGTATGACTGGAAAAGATACTAAAAAAGTGAGAAAGAGGTGGAATTTAGAGATATAAAGACACTCGGATAGCACATATAGATAATCTCTGGTTTAGAAGATCGTGGAAGTCAAAGTTGAGTGCACGATTGAAGGAACATCACTTGATGACTGAGTTGTTCAATAGAGTTAGAGTTCGCCAGAGACAGATAGTAGAATGGCTGGAGGGGAAGCTGAAATGCACCGTCGGACTCAAGCTGTGGACGATCTGCTTTTAATGGGCTTGTGATAGCTATGCATTAAAGAGCTGGTGATATATAGATATGTACTGATAGCGGTATGTACACTTGTCCATCTACGAGTAACTAGCAGTAGAAGTAGTAAGATTACAGGATATCATTTGATGCTGAAATATTTGACAATGAAAACAAATTTACCGCATAACCAAAAAATATGTAAGTGTGCACTTGCACTTGCAATCGCAACTTTCAAGAGCGATTCTGATACAATGTGTTGATTATTTAGTTGTTGGTCTTATCCTATCTAGTCACATAGGATTGGCGACACACAGAGCTAGCAACAATATGATTTGATATATGTGTACGACGTCTCCTAGTTTGGGACAAGCGAATGTGCTCAGGGGTATCTGGATTTTCGAGATTCGATTGAATATCAAGTATTGAATTCTGGATTATCCGTGAGTACCTACCTATGGAAGATGATAAATAGGTGAGTGAATTGTAATAAATACATGCTTATGCAATTGTATTATTTTATGCAATAATTCAATGAATAAGGATGATTCTTTAAGAGGATTAGAATTCATCTAGAATTATTCTTTCTAGTCAAATGTAGTATTTGCGGAGACGCAAGCAATATATCTCTGGGGAGCCACATTACACGTAGATTTATTCGACGACTGTAAGGAGAGAAAAGTCTACGAATAGTCTTGATGGAAAATCGTTTGATATTGAATGATTACAGTAAAGACATCAGACCAATTGTATTCTTCTCATAGTTTAGATCAAATGCGTATCAGACGTGTTAGATACCCCAATCTGCTTAGTGGAGGTGGAGGTAGAATGCATGATGACGAGGACGACGACGGAAAAGACGGGGAAGAATGGAGAGAGTGGAGAATACATGGAGAATACAATGTAAGAATGGGAAGAGGATGTAGGTGTGTTAACAAGTAGTGTAGTGAGATAAAATACCGCAGCGGAACAAGAGCGGATGTTGAATGGAGACATAACTTGACTGTTGAAAGTATTCCATATACAGTAAGTAATACCTACTTGTATACCTCGATACTCTTCACAAATGATGATATTCCCATTAGACATGTTGATTGATACTTAAGCATCACCACATCTATCCAAAATCATTCAACACATTCCACCCCAGAATTCACCATTCTCACGAAACCTTTCCAAGAGAGAATCAACCAATTCTGTTCTCCGTTTGCAATTCCAAATACGAAGTCCGTATCTAAAGTTCACTCCTTCCCAAAGCAGCCATCCAAGCGATAAGTAGTTTTTTACCGGAGTTGGGGGGAATTATTATCGCCGAAAACGAACAGAATGAATCCTACGCACGATAAGAATGTATGGATATATGTACGTGTATGTATGTATGTAGTAGGTAGGTAGAAGGTAGTAATGCGATGGAATGTAACTTAAATGATTCCATTTCGATCCAATCCAACGCCAACAATTGATTTTTTAAATTCAATTACACGAGTACGTACTAACTCGTTTGATAACTTTACAGATTATATACATTTACTCACTAGTACATACATACATACATACATATCGTACAGACATACATATACATATATACATATTACATCCTCTTGGAAACATGAAGATTATATCCAAGTATTTATCTATCTACTAGCTATCTACTAGCTATCTACTAGCTATCTACTTTCTATCTACTATCTATCTATTAAATATACAACAACCTCTTTTCTTCCTCTTCTCACAATCACAATTTGCTTCACATTATATTAATTTTCACCATTATATGAATCCAATGAAACAAAGCACAAATCACCCCCATCCATACATAATCACAAGAACCATCACACCAAGAAAATGACCCCTTTACCTTTACCTCTCCCTTTCCCCCAAAGACACGCCCAAGCTTCACACCTCTCTTCCGCATCTCCACTGCGTCATTTCAGCCTCAATCTGGTCTTAGCAAAAGATTCCATCCTGATCAATAGTTATCAACCACCATCACGTAAATCAAGACTAAGACGACTACCGTTGAATTTAGTGCGTCTACCTATTTTAGAGGAATTGGATGGGATGAGTACACTTTGGGTGAGTTTTTGCTTCTTTTGCCGGGTTTTGATGGGAGATGATGAATGGATTATTATATGATGTGAATTATTCGAGCGTGGACATATCTTGAAAGGGAAGAAATCAATGAGAAGGAAGGCAGGATTGATGGTTGATTGATTAATGGATCGATAATTTGATTGTGGAATTCATTTGCTGATTATGGTTGGTTTTACCAAACGGTTAGTCTCAAAGGCTAGAAAGGTATGTGTTCAGTGTTTTGTTTCGTTTGCTTCGATTTGATTTGAAGATGCATAACGGGTTATGGATGGCGAATGGCAAATGGCAAATGGCAAATGCTAGATAAGGGAGAGAGCGAGGGAAAATATATATAATTTGAAAGCTGCGCTGGTGGCAGATGAAGATTCATTCGATGAGGAAAAAGGAGAGGAAGGGGAAAACGAAGATATAGAGATACATCATTCATACCTACCTACATACATATAAACTAACAATCATCTCTCCAGCCAAAATTTGATTTTGTCCTCAGAGTAAGTTCTCCTTCAACGATTCCAACACATTCACATCTCTTTATTCCCAACCTTAACTAACTTCCCCCCCTCAGTTAATAGATCTCAACAACGTCCCTCTAACCAGTGGAACCGCATACATAAAATGGCACATCTCTTCCTCTGTTGCTTCCGAGCATTCAGGACAAACCCCTCGCTCCCCCATCAAAGAACATAAAGTCCATTGGGATTACACTCGATCCATCCCCGTCCGTCTCACAATCGATAAATCAAACCATCTCTCCGAATGTCTTATCCATTTCGAAGTCATCCAAGATTATAATTCTGGGGCTACCTCGAAAGGAGAACGAGTCACTCTAGGACACATTACGTTGAATTTGGCGGAATATGTGGAAGAGAGTGAAGTTGAGGGCGAGGAGGGAGTGGTGAGGAGATATCTAATGCAGGATAGTAAAATCAATAGTACGGCCAAGATTGGGATTAGTATGCGACAGGTCGAAGGGGAGAGAAATTTCGTCGCGCCAATATTGAAGAGTGCGCCTGTTTTCGGAGGGATCGCGGGAATTATGAAGGGCGAGACGGGGGATAATGGTGATGATGTTTGTAGTGAGTTTATGTCCTTTTCTTCATCCTTCCATCTATCTCACCATGCGCAAATGCGACCCGGGATGCCATACTAATTCTTCTATAAGATATGCCACAACTTCAAAAATCCTCTGATAAATCCGATCTTCACGATATGTATCGACGCGCCCTCGCTGCCTCTTGGACTTGTTCTCCTGCCGAAATGCCCGCAGATGAATGTGTCGAAGATATATTCGCCGGCGGAGATGGCTGGAAACGCGATCCGGATTCTTCCAATTTCGATCACAATGAGTACAGTCGAGACATGCCTCGCATAGTACAAGATGATAGAGAGTTAAGCGCGAGTGGGGGAAGCGGAGAGGACTTGAGAAGACATAGGAGAAGTCATAGTGATGCGAGTCAAAAGAGTAATCTAACCACATCATCTTCTGTTCCTGGAGGTGGGAAAGTGAGAAGAGCAGATGGGAGAGGTCATCGATATAAAAGAAGTACCGATACAACACGCAGTGGGGTTTCATCAAGTGGAGGCAGGAGCGTGAGTGCACAGTCTGGACTCTCGAGCATGGGGGATAGAGATGATGAGATTTCGATTATGGGGAGTGGAGAGAGGGGAAGACAGGGCAGAGGTCTGGGCCATATTCCGGGGAATCATCATGGGTATGTGAGGCCGAGGGAAGTGGATGAGTTTGATATGAGAGAGGATTTGGTGGCATGGAAATTACCCGGGGAGGTTTCTTAGATGGATGTGGATATGGATATTGAGGGGAAGGGGGGCTTGTGTATAGATAAATGGTAGATTGGACTGGGCTGTATATTGGATGGCGAAAAAAATAGGCTGGCTTCCGTTTGGGCTTGCGTAAATAGGGAGTTTATGGGATTTCTGGCCGGGGCATGGCTAAGAAACATTGGAGAAGCATAACATACATCATGGATGGATGGGCGGATGGATGGATGAAGGAACCACGGAAAAAATAAATTGGTTGGTTGGTTTTTACCATAGATTTTTAATTGCTTTAATTTATAACTCTCGATTTTCTTCTCGTCTAAGATATCTTTCTATTCGTGTACCTCTGCCAAGCAGGAATTATGCATTGATCTTGATTGATGTAGGGTAGGTACCTAGGTATATCGAACTCCTAAACGCCTCGCTTCACATCTCTTTCCTTTCTTCTCATCCACATCTCCTAGCTTACCACTCTTTCGTTCCTGAGATGTATAGTTTGCAATTATGCCATGTCCATATCTCAGAAATAAAATGAGATGGCGGAGAAGATATATGTTCCCAAATTGGTATGTTTGACTCTTGATAGGATAGTCATCAGACCAATTGTGTAATGGGTTTTGTTTGTACACCCATATCCACATCCATATCCACAGATTATGAGAACCTGTTCATCCAAGGAACCAAACCTTTACCATGCACTCCCCAAATCCCCTCTCCCTCATCCCTCATCAATACCCACAACTCACTTACCCTCCCTCACTCTTACCCCTACAACTCCCCACCCACTCCATCCTCCCCCTCCAAAACCCTGCCCCTCAAAATCCTCACCTCCTCCACCGGTCTATCCTCCGCCCCCGTCTTCACAAGCCCCATCCTCTTCACCGTCCCCATCCCCCTCGTCACCCGTCCAAAAATCGTATGTTTCCCATCCAACCACGGCGTCGGCGCCAACGTAATAAAAAACTGCGATCCATTTGTATTCGGGCCCGAATTCGCCATTGAGAGAATCCCCGCCCCGGTATGTTTCAACGTGGGGAGATTACTCCCCGCAGGGGGGGTGAGTTCGTCTTCGAATTTTTCCCCGTAGATCGAGGTTCCGCCGCGGCCGGTGCCAGTGGGATCGCCGGTTTGTAACATGAAGTTTGGGATGATCCGGTGGAAGATGATGCTGTCGTAGTAGCCGCGCCGGATGAGAGTCTCGAAGTTGGTGCAGGTTTTGGGGGCGTGTGAGGTGTAGAGTTCGAGGGTTATGGTGCCCTAGGAGAGGAGAGGGGGTTAAGATGGTTTGATTGATAATTTGCTGGCTCTTGGGGAGAGACAGAGGCATAAACTATGCTCAGAACTCTATAGCTGTCTATAATATAACTGACGCTCCGCTGGCCCTCCGGGAACCACTGCCGTGGAGGCAGAATATTGAAGGCGGGGAAGTAATTGGGAAATCTGTACATACCATTGTGGTTTCTAAGGCGATATTTACAGCCATTTTGTATGTTTGTATATGTATAATCAATCGAATTTGACCAATTGATAATATAGAATCTATAAAATCAATTCAAAGTGAGGAGAGAGTATTATGTTGGAGATTCGAGAAGGCTTCAATTTATTGTTTACTTTCTGCAAGGCTGAGAGAAAGTTTGTCGCCCACCAGTGGCCTTGTCGGATCCCTGCTGTTTGTTTGTTCCTTTGGGAAGGACAACATCTATCCAACTTTGTATCTTAGTTTTTTTTGATTTCCTAGCTGAAATTCAAAGATACATTCACTTGAAATTAAACCTGAAATTTCTGAGAATGAGAGAGTTTTAGCTGGCTGGAAGCGAAAAGAACTCTAATTTAAAGTCATCACAATGAACTAGCTTCAACTGTGAAAATACTCTCAACACCTCACAACTCAACTTCCAACCTGTCAGTCCCATAGTGGTCACGATTTGCTCTGTACCATCACCAAACAAGTCAACCACGCAAAAATGGACAACGTCAAAGATTTGCTAGCCAAATACGGCTCTATGATCTATACTCATCGAGAGATGATTAAATTAGAAATTCATGTTATCCTCGCTGCTCTCTTCCCCATCTACATCGGATCACATGCATCACTTCAACGCCCTCCTTCCGCCTCACCACCTCGCAAATCCTCTTCTTCTAATCGTCTCCAAACTTCAGATGAAGAAGATGAAGAAGAATCCAGAGCTCAAATGGAAGGTATGACGCCTTCTGATGCTATCATCTTTCCACTTCTAGCTGCTGTGGCGCTGGGCAGTCTTTATTTTATCATTAAATGGTTGGATGATCCCGCTATTCTTAATAAAATATTAGGATGGTATTTTTCTGCTCTGGGGATTTTTGGAGTCGGGAGATTGGCAAAGGATTCGTTGGATGTGGGAGTGGGATTTATATTTCCAAATGTGTGGACGAGGGAAAATAACGTTTTCCATATCGATCAGAAATCGAGACGTCAAGTTTCTGAAGATGGACAGGGAAAGTTGGTCAATGTTGGAGTTATGAGTCCTCTTCCTGGCCGACTTTCAAAGATCAATCTGCCAAAAGGAGTTACAAATGCGTTGTGGAATGTTCGTGGTCTTTTGAGAACAAATTATACGCTTCATCTTCACATCAAGACTATACTTCCTCATCAAAAGTCTCCGATCAAGTTCACATCACTTCTCGGTCTCTTGATCGGTATCGCTACAATCACAGCTTACAATCTGATGAATGCACCGTGGTATCTTACGAATCTTATGGGATTCGGGTTTTGCTATGGATCTCTTCAACTTATGTCTTTGACTACATTCTTCACTGGATCACTAGTTCTCTTTGGACTCTTCTTTTACGATATCATTATGGTGTTTTATACACCTTTAATGGTCACCGTGGCTACAACTCTGGATGTTCCAATCAAACTTGTGTTTCCAGCGGGTGAAAGTGGAAGAAGTAGTATGTTGGGATTGGGAGATATCGTTTTACCAGGAATCTTAATTGCGTTGGCATTGAGATTTGATTTGTATCTGCATTACTTGTATTTACAGAAGCCAGCCTCTCCTACCGTTTCTCCTTCCACAACCTCAAAGACAGCCATCACAAAAAGCCCAACAACTACTATTCCCTCATCCCAAAAACCAGCCTACAGACCAGCAACTGGTCTCTGGGGTGAACGTTTCTGGACCTCTTCCTTCTCACCTCTCTCCTCTTCCTCCCTGGAAACAGGTGTCGAAGGAACTCGTTTTCAAAAACCTTATTTCAAAGCGGCTCTTGCGGGATACATCATTGGAATGCTCGTAACTTTATTCGTTATGAACGTGTGGAGACATGCACAACCAGCTCTCTTGTATCTGGTTCCTGGTGTCGTATTTAGTCTATGGGGAACGGCGGCTGTGAGGGGAGAATTAAGAGTTATGTGGGAATTTACTGAGGATGGGAGTTTAGAGGATGAGGGGAAGAAAGATGACGATGAGAAGAAGATTGAAGGAGGAGAAAAGAAGAAAGTAGATGAGAAGAGTGAGAAGAAGGATGATGAAAAAGTGAAGGAAAAGCAAATCTCAAACGGAGAAGTAACAAAGAAGGAGCAAAAACACGAAGAAATCAAAACCAAACTCGCAGAAGCGATTGATACGCTAATGGACGATTCAGATGCGAGCTCGATACTATCTGATGGGTCGATTTCCTGGCCGGAAGATGATGGAAATGCAAATGCGAGTGAAGCAGATGATGAATTGGGTTATGATAGGTCGGAAAAGGAAAAGCATCAGAGGATTGAGAAAATGGCGAGGAAGGGTTTGAAGGCGAAGGAGAAGGAGAAGAAGAGGGAGGTGGAGAAGGAAGATCAAATTTTCCTCTTTTCTATTACGGGACCGGGATCAAGTGGTGCGGAGAGGAAAGGAGAGAAAACGGGGGTGGATGGGGAGGGGGAGGAGAAGAAAGATAGATGAGAAGTTGGGGTCAGTACCGAGAGAAGTCAAAGACTAGAAATGTCTCGTACTCAAAGAACAGGAATGGAAAACAGATAGGTATCCATCCTTGATATCACAGTAATCACAGCATGTAAGGAACAAGAGAGGAAAGAAGAAAAAGCTGCAGATAATACACAAATAAATACATAAATAGATGTATAGCCTACACATCACCACATTGAGTATCGAAAACAGAAACCTCAAATGAACAATACTACTAGGTATTTCGCTTCGCATCTCACATCTCCCATCTCACATCTCACATCTCAAGCACACTCGAGATACCTACCTACCTACCTACTCTCTAACTCACATGTCAGATGGTGATCCAAGGAATGGAATATCTAGATACCTGCTAAGTAAGAAGCTGGTTACATATTTTGTTTATGTAAGATTACTGGGTAGATAGATATTCCATCTATTTATCTATCTATCTAGCTAGCATCAACCATCCGTCTGGTTCCCTCTTTTTTTCTTTCTTTCTTTCTTTTATTTACATACTAGGCATACACCACACTGTCTCTCCCTTGCATATATATATGTATATATATTCACACATACACACACACACATACACACACACACATACACACACACACATACTCACACACACATACACACACCCCACATACTAAAAATCCTTCCTAGACATCAACCCCACATCTATCCATTATAAAGAATAAAACCCCTGGTCTGCATCCATCCATCCACAGCAGTCGTCCCTAGAGCACCAGGATTAGTAGAGTATGGATGGTTCACCAGTTCATATAGTAAATATCTACTAGGTAGCTATAGAGAGGATTCAATATGATGTCTGCCTCCACGGCAGTGGCCACCGGAGGGCCAGCGGAGCGTCATTGCGATTTTGGGATTTTAGACTTCTGTGATTCTAGAGTGATGAGATATATATCCAGTCATGGGATCATTGTGAACTGTGAACTGTGAACTCTGTATATATATTTGTTTTTTAATTGGGTTTTGGTTATATCTATTTACTCTGTAGGTATCTGTCTATCTTCTTTTTCCCGTTTGCTTAGCCGGTTCTGTTTTGGTGGTGTGTTTAGATGGAATGAAATGAAATGAAATGAAATGAGATGGTGAACCCTCCCTTCCTCCCTATCTATTTAGTATCTATTGATAAATCCATCCGTAACTCCCAAGTATCAAATTATGCTCACTCCTTCTTTCTGTTCAACGCCCTCTGAAACCTTTATTCCATCTCCTCTAATCTTTCGAATCCCAATTCCCATCTCTCCATAAACCACATCCATGCATATCAAGAAAGTAATAGGCCCCCTCCAAACCATCTAAGCTCCAAATGCAGCAGCAGGATAACTTCTCTTTTTCTTTCCACCACTTCCTGAAGCCCCACTTCGACTACTACTTCTTGAACTTTCTTTACTTTGTTCATCTCCTTGTGCTCTAGGACGCAAAAATACTTCTTCGGGCAAATCATTCCATTCTTTTTCTGGTCTACGATCTTGAAATGATGTTGTATGTTTTGATGGGGGTGGTCTTGTTGTTGTGCTCATTGGAGGAGGAGGGGGTGTTGATTTCGCTGTCGCATTTTTGATTGAGTTTAACATGGGAGTTGGATTTGTTTGTGGTTGTCTAGAAATATGATCTTGAACCGAGAATCTTCGTCTAAGAACGAATGCGTCTTGTGGTCGTAAACGTCTGTAATATCCTTCGACTAATTCCCCCTTTTCGAATCCGCGCTTGGCGTACCATTCTAATGCTTCTTGGTTATCTACCCAAACGTGCGCGTATAATCCTTCGATTCTGACTCCAATTGGTATGCGAGAAGATGTAGCAGATTCGATGACGGAGTTTAATAGTGCGGTTGCGAGACCAAGGGCTCGATAGGGAGAGAGCAGAGTGAGAGACTGTAGATATATACTATATGTATTTGCGGGAGGTTGGGCATATGGAGAAGATGGAGGAGAGGGATCGATTCGACAGATTAGGGAGCCGATTACTTTTGATTCGGAGTTGGAGTCTGGAGTATATGTAACTACTCTTGAGAAAGAGAGAGAGATTGGTATCGAAGGAGAGGGGGGAGAAGTAATAGCGTGGTAGAAAGCATCTGGATATGGAATTGGAAGGAGGAGAGCATTAATACGACGTAATGGTTGGATATGGTGATCTTGCGGTATTTCGATTTTATACCCCTGGGGAAGTTCCTGTGATGATGCAGGTAATGGTTCTAGAGAATCTGGGGTAGCGGTAGTTGCGGTGGTTACCGGTGGTAGAGGGGCATTGGTAGAGCTTGGTGGACCCGATGCAGGTTGAGGTGGAGGTATTTCTTGACCTGCGTTTCCATTTCTATTCTCATGAGAGTCTGGAGTTGTGATTGGTGTTGTTCCTGGTGGTGGAGTGTATGTAGGTTGTTTTGGTTGAAAGAACGATCGAATGGTTGGTTGTTGAGGACGTGGTGGTGGAGGGGTATTGTTTGACATGATGTCTGCTGTATTCATTGTTCGAGTTACTTTGCTTGGGTATAATCTGATCTGATGTTTAAGGAGAGACAAAAATGCTTGGAGGAACCTGGAAGAGAGAAGATGTGTGCGTGCTCTGACTGTTTTGGATATATTGATGAAAGAATGAATTGTGATTTGACGCAAACATGTATGAGAAGAGAGATCTGTCTTTTTGGATCTTGCCTACCAGTATTTCGGAGGGAAGAGGATATGTGTTGTCCCTAGCAATGACAGGTAGAAATCAATTGGAATGAAGGAGTTAAATTATATTATATATCATATCAAGGTTCAAGGATATATATCATTTCAACTTTGTACCTTTTTTCATCAGCCACAGGTTTCCATTTTTATCTTTTCTATCCATGGATGCCATCACTCCAAACTGTTTATTGCTCTCCAGCTGTACCTAGTAAATACGTAGCACGTGCCTAGTAAAGAGTGAAGCTTGCAGTCTACGGTGGCTAACTATTAGTCATCAATACTTGACTCTCACCGCCCTTACTAATCAAGTTAAAGATGACTGGCAATAATTTCAACCATCATTGAGCTTTTGGTATGAAACCCCAAAGTACCTAGTACAGTACAGGAACCGGTACATACAAGACCAAAGTTTCCCGAAAGTGTGAGAAAGAGGTTCAAGGGAAAACAAGTTAATTAATATCAACCATAACCATTTTTCTCCCTCTGAAATATTGAAGGTATTCAGACAACGACGACACAAGACTTCTTTCTCTTCTTCTCTTCTCTTTACCTGAAGCTCGAGTTCAATATCAATTATAAAATGATCTATTATTTATTTCAAATACCCTTTATCATTTCTTAAAAGAAGGAGAGATAGAGAGAGATAGAGAGAGAGAGAGATCTTCCAATCATTTCTTTCCATCCATACCTCCAAACCCTCTCCCCAAGTTTCCCCCCCAATCTAACAATTTCGTCAGCCTTGGGGCTTTCAAGAAATTCAATTTATTCCAAGGAAAATCATTCCACCAACTGGCAAATATATCCTCAAAATGTCTGCCAACGATCAGTTTCCTCAGTCTGGTATAATAATTGCTGGTCAAGATGAAGAAATTGATACTATGGGGAAACTTGTAATTACCCTTTTTCATTACTTTCCCTTGCCTCACTTCACCTCACCTTTTTTACAAGCAAAACTTGTGTGTTGCCTTGCTTACTTGCCAATTTACTGACATTCTACAATAGACAAATTCTGTACTTGATGATATGTTCTACAATATCATTCATGACATAGTATTACAAACTCATCGCGAAGAGAAAATAGCAAAGGCATGTTCTGCTGCTATTGCCATTGAACAAAAAGTCGCAGAAACCAATCCTGATTTAATAGACGATCCTACTTCTTGGAACACAAATCAAATTATAGAAACCGACGCGGCGAAGTGGGAAAATAAAGAAGTCTTCTTAAAAGGCAATCCATTAGAATTGGTCGATGAGATTATTTGCGCAAAGTGTGGTTTGCCTCGACTTTTACAACCTACAGATGGGGTGGGAGCAAAGAAACCTCCTCCAGGAAAGGAGTTCTGCAAGAAGAAGCCTTTCATTGAGAAACCATGGCATGATGTTTATGGTCAAACTTATGTGCCAGAAGGACCAGGAAGGGGAAAGAAGAAGAAGGACATGATCAACCCTTTACTACAACAACAGAAAGAAGGGACACCAAATAGTCAGGATGGTGAAGATGAAGGACCTGCGAAACCAATTTCTTTCCCTCACGCCAAATGTCACAATTGCAATACATTCTTACCGATTAAGCGAATGAACAATCATATGGTGAAATGTATTGGAGGTGGAGGGAGAGATTCTGCAAGAGCAGCTGCCTTCAAAATCAATGGAAATGGATTGGGTACGGGAAACAATAGTCAAAATGGTACACCACCATTAAGTCGACAAGCAACACCACAACCCAATGGAGGAAAGAGAGGTAGTCCCAATAAACGCGAAGCAGCCGATGATCCAGATTTCGAATCCGATTCTCCACAAAAGAAGAAGAAATTCTTGAAGAAACCAGGTAGCTCGGGTGGAATTATTCTGAAGAATAAGCTCAAAGCTCCGAAAATGACAAAAACACCTTCACAGCTTTCCTCATCAAATCTGAGTTTCGAACACAAAAGACCGGATAGTGACGATGATAATGATTCAGGAGATGATGATCGAGATGGTGAATATGGAAGAAGAACCAGCATTGAACCGAAGAAGAAAATGTTAGTCAATAAGACAGGGGCGGGAATAGTCAAGAAAAATAAGGACGGTGGTGGTCTTGGTATTGCTGGGTTGAGCGATAAAAAGAAGAAGAAATTATTATTGGGAAGACCGGGGAGTGGTAGTTCAACACCAGTCCTGAAACCAGGTTCATTACCAATGGATGAGGATCGAGAGAGGGAAAGAAAGAAGATCAAGAATGGAAATGGGAGTGGAACTTTGAGTGCTCACAAGAGAGATAGAGAGAGAGAAAGAGAAAGGGAGAGAGATAGGGATTGGGGTGCGGATGAGAAATCTGAGAGTAGTCAGACTTTGTCTAGTCCAAATTGAGGGGGGCTGTGAACTGGAAGGAAAAGGTGCGTGGGAGGCGTTGAATTTGAGTGGCTGAGGGCTGCAATAGAAAGAAAAGAGAACTCATGAGTTCCTTAGTGTAAGACCATGGTGGGATGAACATTTGAAAGGCATTGATGGGGAACAGGATTCCAATGGGTAACATACATGCATATGGCTGGCGTTCATTTCTTACTTCTTCCATGTTCAGCATTCAAATGTGCATATACACAAACGTTTCGGAGGAAGAATATACCTGAGGTATGGTGTTTACATTGCTACCGGTGCTGAAAATGTATCGGGAATGCATTGGGGGTATACATTCGGCGTTGCATTATCTTGTTTTTCGTTTTTTTTTGTTCACGTTTCGTCTTGGACGACTCACTTGGTATTTATGATGGGAAAGGGTTGATGGATTGGTGGATGGGGTGTGGAAATGGGGATGGAGGGGATGATACCCGTTAGTTAGGAAAGGAAGGGGAATATAATACAATATACTTTACTTATGAGTGTGGCTGGATGAGTTTTCGATTAGGGTTCGTGATGTACTTGTTTTGTTGTGCTGTGATGGGCAGTGCTGTGATGGGCAGTGCTGTGAGGGGGGTTGAGAATGAGTGGTAGGGGTTTCTGGAAGAGGGGAAGGGCGGGGTGGAAGATGAGGGGTGGGGAGGGGTGAGAGTGTGTGAGGAGGGGCTTGGGGAGGCTGTTGAAGGTTGCTGAGGGTTGAAGGTTCGAAGGTGGGTGGAGGAAGAGAGCGGTGGTTTTCTCGTTTGTTTTGGACAATCGATGAGGAGAGGAGGGGAGGGGAGAGGAGAGGGATATAAATACTTTTATGTCTTCTGCTCTTCTTCCATATCGTGATTACCTAAAGAATGGAATGTTTCGATTTGATGGGCCTACTCGGATGTGACTGGTTTCTCTAAGTATTCGATGGGAATCAGGAATTTTGTGGGATGATATAGGATTATATGAGATGAGATGAGATGGGATAGAGGATTGAGGTTATGATGAGCGAGTGAGTGCTATTCATCTATGCATTCTCGTTGTAATATGTTGCTGCTATTATCGTTGATCTTCTTGATGTTTTGTCTTTGTGGGAATTGTTTATGTTGCTGTGATTTTTCATGGATTGATTTCTTTCTTGTTGTCATGGTTGTTGTGAGGGTAGGTACTTACTCCTTCGAACTGCGGTTTCTCTACATTTGGTATTCCTGACTGGGAAATTGGGATGAATGTGAGAGGAGAGTGCGGAGGAGGAGTGTTTACTTGAACCTAAATCACTTATCCGGTATCTTAATATTGATGTTCGTAGTGTATGTTGGGAAGTAGAAGGAGAGGGTGATAGGATCACAGTAGGGCTTTTTATAGAATCATTAGCTAGGTGATGTTTGTATGCACTGTGGAGTTTTGATTCTCGAGGCTTGAGCATGCCATGCCATGTGCGATGTATCTAGCGATCTCTGAGCAATATCGCAAGAAAAATGATGATGAAGTGGTTTTTGCAATCGAGAGGTTTGGGATCGTATGCTTGCTCTTCTCCTTCTTTTTCTTCTTCTTTTTCCCGTTTGGGTTGTTCGTCTGGGTGATGAGAGTATAAGAGTAAGAGTGAGGGGTATGAATATCGATGTCGTTATGGCTAAGGTTGTCATTGTTGACATTTTTACTGTTGTTGTATTCATTTCTGGAATCGTTGTTTGTTCTTGTTATCAATCAATCATTGAAACTGTATCTGCAATCCTCATTTGTCAATGCCACTCTTTTTACACCATCGCTGTCTCTATCACACATCTCTTTCTCACCAGTATATCTCTTGGATCTAGAAATACAGTTCACATATCTTATACAAGCAAATTGGAAGAGTCGTATGGTAATGAAATTGTGCTTTTCTTCCCTCATAATCTTCGGCTGGGAGGAATTGTGTGTATCTAGAGAAAGGAATATCTAGGTATGTCTCAGGGTAATTTATAGAAACACGGGGAGATGTAAGGATCAAGACCGAGAGGAATGGGTTTAGAGGTATGGTTCAAAGTGATGGAGTGGAGAGAGTAAAAGAATTCAAGCAGAGATAGAAGTGAAATGAGGATGTGATAGAGTTTAGATAGTCGTTTTGATATCTAGCATTGGGAATAGTAGGGAAATGGGTATATAAGTACCTTTATTTTGGTAATTTTTTCGCTTCATGAAACCTTTAGTGAGATACTTGCAAGGAATCGAGGACTGATGATATCTTCGTGAGTTCATTTGTTAATTTTTAGAGAAAAGTAAAAAAATATGAGAGATTGAGAGAGAAGTTTGATATGGGTTTGGAAAAAGACTTGAAATTTCAATAGTAACAACGTTCATATTATTGTTGCAATTTTTTGAGTGTTCACAATATCATTTATCGTTGCTGTTCTTTAACTGTAGTGCTTTGTTTTCAAGATCTGACAACGGATGCTCTCTTGCAAGCTTAAATCCTCGGCTTAGCCGTTTGAATGAAGATGGTGCTTCGGACGCTCGCGTTGCGTTCTTACTGTCTGTTCCTTAATAACCAAGGCCGAGCAAATCCTCTGTCACTGTTAGAAATTGAAGTGAAGAGGAGTAGGGCTTTTATATAAGTCGAAACTGGTACTAAATATCCGGAAGAGTGATTAGTGAAAGGATGTTTGATGCCGAGTAGTGTGCACTTCCCTTCTCCTTTCTTGTATCTGGCAACTCTCATCATATACGTATACTCACACCCATATGTATATAAATCTGGTGATTTACTTTGATAGTTTGAATGTTTATAGTAGTATTGCAAATCTCCTCGAGAATGGAGAAGAAGGTATAGGAGATTGCATCAAAGTTTTGATTATTCTTTGGATGATTATTGGATAGTTCTTTGCAAGGAATTGTAAACGAATTTGTGTCTTGACTTGTAAGGGGCAGGCAAATTTGTGTCGTTATTTATAAACGTTCATATTGATAAATGCCTTCGCTACTGTTATTTCTACTGTCACTTACAACTCCACTATCACAGTTTTTTGCATCATTCCCAAAGCCGAAGGATTATACTCTTTAAATCTGGGCTCATTACAAGCACACCTGAAGCAGTACCAGTCCGTCTAGAACATTGATTCTTGTTAATTGTTCCTTTCATGTTCCTCATGTATAGACATTGAATATAGAGCGTGGACGAGATGATAAAAGGGAGGGTGAGTGGACTTTATAAGAGGCTGTGATGATATAATGGTAAGGAACGGCAGGAGGGCGATGAGATTGTGAGTATTATAGCCAGCTTAAATCCTCTCTATCTCATGTTGAAATTTGGCATGAGGAGCAGAAATTTTCAGTTTCTACTTCGAATCGTTGAGGCGTTGACTGGAAATGTAATCAGATTGCGATTATTGTTAAGCGATCCTTTTACCGTCGGCTATATGGATCAATTGTCTCATTTTCATTTTCGACTTTTCGACTTTTTTTGAATATTGATATTTATTTAATTTAATTTATATTATTAAGATTTATATTATTAAATAGAAAAAGATTATATTTAATATAATAAAATTATTATTAAAAAAATTGAAAAAATAGATATATATAAATTATGTTAAAAGATCATATATGAGTTGATGGAAAAGCCTTAATATTATTAAGTTCTACATAACGATACGATATATATATGTAGACTCGATAGTGTCACATGCGGGCTAATCCCGATATAGCATAATGTGATATACGGTATAAGCACCTTTTCTAACACTCCCCCATACTGATATCGTATATCTAAAGCTATGTAGCTTATCGAAAGCTATGGAGAGCTATATTATAAGTCGGGGCTATAGTTAATCTCAACCAAGCTAAACGGCATGATCTGTATCGTATAAGTATATGTACAATGTTTAATCACTTTCATTCAGTGAATCTCGAGGATTGCTAACAAATATCTTAAAGCTAGCGAGTTAATTCTAACAGATACCAGAAAGCGCTTTGAGATTATAGCTATCAAAACCGTTATAGAATCAATAAATCAGATCTCATATACCGCCAGAAAGCGTTCTCGGATCAACAAGTAATATAATCATGGGAGTATTTGATTGCTAATAATACCTCTTCCAGGAATCAATATCTTTAATCAATTTTTAAAGAAAATCGTCTCCTCTAGGACTACCCAATACCTAGTATAGATATTTCTCTAAGGGTGTAGATATCGTACTGTTGATACGATCCCTACTGGCCTATAAAGCCTGTACTCCTACAGCTCTGTCCCTCTTGTAGGAGCTGGAATACGGATCCCTACATAATCACCCTGGTTATATAGGATCTCTTGATCTTTACTCTCCTTCTCGAGGATATAGGAGATATCTATTCCTATATAGTAGAGTGCTGGAAGCACTCCCCTACAGAATATATTCTATTACTTTATCTCTTATAGGAGTTGGGATACAGTATCCTATATGATCACCCTGATTATATAGGATCTCTTGATCCTTACTCTTCTCTATCATAAGGAGTATAGAAAATAATTCCATCATCTCCTATATAATGGAACACCAGAGTATTCCCCTAAATATAGTAATACACGTTCTCCCACTACCATAATCATCCACTCCTCCTCCATATATAATTTCAGATTGCTTTCAGTTCCCTTTAGAACCTCTAGCTCCCTATACTCAATACTTTCGGATCTTTATAAACCCTCTGGCTCCCTATATACTCTCCCTCCCCCTCGATCATCAGTATAGCTATTATTGATAAAGAAAATCGAAATCGAAATCATATAAAGATAGTGATTGAAAAGAAAGATAATTGATTTGTACTTAATAATATATACTGATTTGTTAAAATAGAATATATTACACAAACTATAGATAAATGAAAGAATATCGAAGTCAAAGGAAATAAGATTGAAAGCTGAGATATTATAAAATAACAGAACTGATAAGCAAAACAAATTAAATTCTATAAAAACTAGTATTAAATAAAAATAATAATCTAATAATTATTATACTCATCAAATTGTAAATATAGATAATCAGAAAACTATTGAAGAAATGGGAAAGGAATAGCAGGAAAATTTCTGAGACAAAAAAAAATCTTTATTAAATCAAATAGGTTTTGTAGTTTCTCTATAAACTATATCCAAAGCATTCTCTATTTCAAGATTTTCTATAAATAATCCTCAATTATATAAAGTTTGATTGATTTGTAAAGTATTACCGATTGCTTATATTATATTATTGTTATCAATATAAAGCTTATAGGAATCGAAAAGAGAAAAATCGAAAATAGATCGAGAGAATTATATTGTAATTAAGATTCTTGAATTGTCAAAAGAAGATAAGAGTAGATAGCAATCGTTTGTCAAAACTTTATTGCCCTTTTCAACCTTATAGATTGGATTACTGTAATACTACGTACCTGAGTATTTTGTATGGTTTTCACTATCTTCAACCCTATAGATTGGATTACTGTAATACCACATACCTAAGTATTTCGTACAATCTCCATCATCTTCAACCCTATAAGTTGGATTGCTGTAATACTATACACTTGAATATTTATTACGATTTCTATTGTCTTCAATCTTACAGATTGAATCATTTTGATACTATATATTTGAGTATTTATTACAATCTTCATTATAATAATACTATACACTTTATAATATTATACAGAATACTGGAATCTTATAACAATACTGAAATCAAATTCATTCACCAAGCAAAGCCGCGCTTCCCCAATTGCTTAATTGTATTGAACTAAATACTATCTAGATATCTTTAGAATTGAATTATATTTATAAAAACAATAATCTCCAAATTTAACAGAATAGCTACTATCTGTTATAGCTTTAATCAAGTAACTCCGGAAAACTAATCCTAATGTTATACGAATCCAAGCTTATAATCTGTTAAAAGATTATATATGAATTGATGGAAAAGCTTTAATATTATTAAGTTCTATATAACAATATAATATATATATATGGACTCGATAATGTCATATGCAGGCTAATCCCGATATAGCATAGTGTGATATGCGGTATAAGCACCTTTTCTAACAAATTACTTATTTTATTTTTACTTTTTCACTTTCTTTTTTTAATCTTTTTAATCTTTTAATTTTTTTAATTTTTTTAATCTTTTTAATCTTTTCTTTTTTTATTATAATAAATATAATCTTTTTTTAATTAATTTAATAAATCTTAATAATATTCATATTATATAATAAATCAAATAAATATTAATATTTAAAATTTTCAAAAAGTACAAAAAAAGTAAAAAAGTGAAAAAGTCGAAAAACGAAAAATGAGACAATCGATCTATATGGCCGACGGTACCCTTTTCTGAGTTTCCCTATAAACGTATATATAGCATACTATTGCTTTGATAATTTTTAGCTCCATAGAATTTCTGGCATCAATGACACTTTGTCCATAGGAGGCAGGCGGCATTGGTATCAAAGTCACTATATTGAAAATATGCATGGGTACGGATGGAATTACGTCAAAGCTCCATTGGAGAGAGAACGTTGGTCGACTGTCAACTTTTATTCTCGTCGTTTATTCTCACAGCCATCTTTACTTGGTCCCATCAGTAAGTTTCTAATGGAGTCGTTTATTGATGTCTGCGAATCTTCTTACAATCAGCATAAGATTCATAGTCTATTGAAGTTCGATACTCGTAGATTATCAAATCGTGATGGTATTCACCCATTCGGAGTATTCACGTATGGCTTTATTGGCATAGATATCAAGCAATAGGAATGTTATGAGCTTTTTTATACCGTTACGTGAAAAATTCGACATCTGATACTAGAACAAGTTTTTGTCACAGTAGAATGGTGGTTGCATGATGAGTGAGCCATCAATTTCACTCCGTGGACGAGGGGTGACAATCAGTAGACAAGTCAGGGAAGTTTTCATCACGATCTCGTATCTTTTATTTTTCAAGTCTATGAAGATTGAAGTTGCGTTTGACCTACAATCTCGCAATATTCTTTGCAAGTGCTGCTGCAAGTCGGGAGGGTGCTAGTCTCAGCGGAAGCCAGTCTCAAAATAAATTTTTCCAATGGATTCAGAAACTCATTCTCTCCCATTTGCTTAAAGAAAACTTTGCACATACACGGGGTTAAAGAAGATCTAAAATTTGTTATTATCGACAGACATAAATCTGCGGATTTGTTGCCATTTTATATTTTGAGATCATGAAATGAATTGTCATCATTTCTACCGCTTTTCTTATTGTTGAGACTTGTGTGTGTGTGTGTGTGTTTGTTGAGCGGTAGAAATTTCGATATAATGTGTTACAAATTGAAGTGTTGTGGTGTTTAAGAATCATAATGCCATGACGCTTTTAGAGTGCGTATATATCTAGGCTAAAAGCCAAGGGGAAGTGAATGAAACTTTCATAGAGGGAAAGAGACCCCCGCGGAGAGCCAGTGAAGGAATAAGGGTACTTCGGAAAGTGAGAAGGAGGAACAGAAATGTGTCTTTACGTCCTAATCTGATCAAAATAATCAAAATTGGAGTTCAATCTACAAATTCTTGACTCTCATCATCTCTCTGTCGACCGGAAATGTCATTTAGACGAGTGCATCTCCATGTTGTGTCCAATTTTGGCACATCTAGGCGGATTTAGGTAATCAATCTTCCAGTTACTTCTACGGCAGACAAAGTATTCGCGAGTTGTTCATTGGAAATAAGGTTGTGTAGATGTTAGCTTTATCAGAAGGGGGACGTGTTGAATGCAACGATGTTACTGAAAGTGATTATCAAGAGATTGTAGAAGTACAGAGATAATTTCATCGTTGACCAAAAGAAAGCTCGTTCATAACTGATCATGCTATTTTCTTTTTCTCTTGCTAGTGATTTAAGAACTCTTGATGCCATCGTCGTTGATTTACTCGCTCTATTTATTTCCTCTGTCCTGGGCCGTGTTTTTCCAAAGAAAGTGAAATTTTGAAGCGCGATTTTGCTATATTCGCATGTTTTCTCGACTTGTAGCTGCGACTAACAGATAGTGGATTTCAAATAATATTTAGTCCTAGGACAAAGACGGAGCAAACCGGAATTGAGAAGTATACCATTGGATGTGCTGAACTCTGTTGCTTGTTTGAGCCCGGCGACTTTTCGTTACGTGATTGTCAATCAAATCTATCTATCTGGTTCCAGAAAAAGAAGAGCTTCTTCGAAAATTGAATAACTCAGTTCACAGGTGTGGCAGTTGAGAAGACTACGATGGATTGAAATTCGTCGTGCGTTTTGGATTCGCTTCCAGATGTCTTGCATTTCGTCGACTCAGAGAGTTATTTGTGGTTGACGAAACTTGCTCGTATGACATCCATGGTCTAATTCAAGATAAGAGATTGAATCAAAGGATAGGGAGTATAGATTTATCGGAACATGCCATAAATCAAGATGTGATTCTTTGTTCGCCACGTGCTCAAAACTCTTCCCCCTTTTCTTGTCATTCGATTTCTATCTCTGGTTGGGATTCACATGAGGGGTGTGATAGCTCCAGATTATCAATACATCAGATAGTACCACTTCAGAGAGCACACTACTTTGGAATTTACCGTGATTTAAAATAGACTCCTAGGTAATTATTTTACTTCGCGTGGTTGGTATCATCCGAACGATTCGGCCTAGATTTAATTCGACCTCGCGTAACTTTCCACATGGTTTAAACGGTCTTAAGGAAGACTCCATAAACACGCAAAAAAGACAATTGTAGTAGAGAGTAATTAAAGGTCAGTTCCGTTATATTACATGAACAATTATGCAATAGGAGATCGACTACCTTTGACTATGATTGATCAAATTATAAATACAGGGCTTTTGGCTCGAATTGTGATGCTATAGCACGGAAAGTACTCCTCATATTATCTTGATAAAACTATGAAGCTATTATATGCAGCAACAGCTCTCTACCTTTTGGCTAGTGAAAAGCTAGTTGGAGCTATAGCCACATAGAATGATCATACCGCACAGTTCTGCTTTACACGATATAGCTCCGAGAGCGTATCTTCTATTTCGACTACAACACGCACAATCAAGATTCCATCATATACTATTTCTACATATCATCCAGGAGAGCTGATAACAGTTACGCCCCGCCGACAGTAACCACCACTACTTCTCTTTCCGTAGCCACGTCTACGCAAATTGGAGGAGCTACCCAAACTGTCACAAGCAATGTTATCTCTACTGGCACGGTTATCCAGACAACAATCCTATTTGAAACAACAGAAGTTGGTCCTACTGTCACTATAACAGCCGCACAGTCAACTTTAACTGTCCCTGCATCTTCTGGATTTCTTCCTCTGGCAAACGACCCTTATGTGATAGCCAATGGAGGGGCTGGAGGGGCCACAAAGAAGCGCAGAGAGGCCAACATACATTCAGAGGTCAGTATTTAGATGACAAATGATCAACAACAAAATTCACTAACCAGAAATACACCCTCTAAGCCAACCAGCTCCAATAACCGCCGTTACCCCTACCATCATCCTCACAAAGCTGCTAATCCAGAACTGGCCGATTCTTCAGCTCCTGGTCCTAAGGAATTCGATATTAAGGTCAAGCCAAAAAGGTGGTGGTTTGGTTCGTGGTGGAAAGGCACCAGATATCCTTCCTCGGTATATTGTCGAGAAATTGTCAGCGTTACCCAAACTCAAATAATCACTCTTCAGTCACAAGGAGGAGGTACCACAACTTTGCCTCCAGAATTCGCAACTCCCATCATACTGTCAACATCAAAACAGGTAGTTACGTCGGCACCAGCTACCACTACTACAACAGTTGTCCAGATCGAAGATGTAACCTCAATAACCACCGAGAAGGATGTGATCACTCATAGTTCAACAACTACAACAACCGCATTCCCACCACAAGCTACAATATATGATATATGCCAGGAGAACAACATAGTAGCAACCGTAGAAGGGGCTACCATCGACTACTCCCTACCTAGCTATGGTCAATCCAGTCTTCAAATTCACTGGACATATATCGCGGATCCTTACGTGAAATCATATAACTGCTGTGCCATATGTGCACAGTCATCTACATGTGTTGCATATTACTACAATACAGATAAAACGGCCAATCCTGGTCCTGCAGTGACTTGCTTCACTCATGAAGCGACAGATGGTGTTTGCGATCCCTCTGGACTTCGCTACGTCTTCCGTGCAGATCCTAAGCGTAACACTCTATCTCCTGATATAGTCGGAAATGGAAATTGCGGTAAAGGACAACTTGATAATGGGGCTAGACCAACGCTGGATGGTAAACTGTGATTATTTGTGTCCATTGAATTTTAGGAAAACAGGAATAGTCTTTGATCGAACGATGAAGGTATAGTTTGTGGACTGTTTATTTTGCTCTCGTTTCCAGACCTCAGTTGGGCTTAACATATAAAACATATGCAAAAGTAGGAGCCAAAAAGAGACAATCTGGAGTTTTGATTGCATGTAATTGAATGTCGGATGTAATGAATGCATTACAAAAGCAAAAGTAAACCACGTATTAATATCTTATATTTAACTTTAAAATCAAGGTAAAACAAAGATCAATGGCTGTTTATCTTCTGATGAATTGTAACAAAGGAATATATACGGGATCCCGGCTGCAAAGCTCATTAGCCTTGCATTTGTGCAACTTATCTATCATTCAATGCAACGCATTTTCTTAGATAATTTTCCAAATGTGAATAGTGTGGATAGCTAAGTCTCAATCATTGAGAAAAGTTTTGCATGATTAAATAAATTTCGATTCCCAAATATATACAGAAAGAAGTGAATCCAGCCCAACCTTGGAAGTATCAGTACATTTCCATATTCCCGTATTCTTCATCACCACCTATTCACTCTTCTCAAGCTTCCTCAACAAGACTCTCGTTCCATGTCTTGGGATAACCATTGTGGTATATCCCATGGTAAGTGCTTTGTTATCATCCGCCAATTTAAATTCATAGTTTGTCAATAAGTGCGCCAAAATCTGTTTCAATGATGCGCTGACGTACCAGCGGCCAGGACTAATGAGGTGTTAGTTCTTGCTCGACGTATATAATAAGAATAAAACAAAATGATGTACTCACCAAGCTTTCTTACTAGCCCCCCAAAATGGAAACCCACTACTAACATCCGTATACTTCATCCTGGGTTCTTCTCTCCCTCTATCCTCCGGTAATACAAATCTGAAACCGTCAAAAGTTTCCGGATCATTGTAATACCTAGGACTCTTCATCAACGCATCCTGAGGCACCGCAATAATATTCCCTTGCGGAATCGTTTCACCACTCGAGAATGTGAATGGTTTCATAACTTTACGTTGAATAGAAAGCGCATCTAATGGGTTCACACGAGCTGATTCGCGGAGGAAAGATTCCATCAAAGGCATGTTCTTGTACTGTATTTCCTCGGGTAAGGATAGCATGGAGCGGATTTCTTCAGTGAGCGGTTCGATGTATTCTGGGTGAAGACAGAGGTTGTAGATTGTGAAAGTTAAGACAAGAGGAAGTTGATGGGCGGAGGCGAAAGTGAGGGCAATCATTTGTTGTACGATACGCTCCACGGTGCGCTGGCGGGGAGTTGTGGATGATTCCTAAACGAGGTTAATAATTTTCGGCCAGACAATGTGGAAATTGAGATCCTTACAATGACCCAAGTTATACAATCAGACTGTGATTGATAAATTAGCAAGCACTAGTTGGAAATTCTACAAGATAGCTTACAGGTAAGGGTTTCTTCTCCTCGATATCTCTGAGACGTTGGATAACCAAAGGTCTGATATGCCCGGCTATTTTTTTCATTGCACCACTCCAAGCCATGATTGCGGGGCAGGCGTATCTAAAAAAAAAACAAATATCAGAATTGAATATTTAAGAGTACAGAAAATGGGGTACTCACGGAATGATGAATGCAGGCATGTAACGACAGAATTCCATAGACAGAATAACATCGTTCGAGTATCGTAGCACGGCATCAACATAATCTTGGTTGTTGGCTAGGTATTCGTTAGTGAAACTAAACATCAAACAAAATCTCGGCGTATAGACGTACCAAGTTCATCTCCAACAAGCACTTGACAATTGATTCTCAAACCGATAGCCTCAGACAAGCCTAAGACAGAAACTGAAGTCCAATCTACGTCAAATTAGCATGGCAAATTCTCAACGGTAGTTTTCACAGTAAGTTCATTACCATTGACAGCTTTTTCTTTTGACAAAACTTTACTAAAAGCTTCCTCAATCTTCTCCTGAATCCTGGGTCTCAGAGCTGGTTGATTCGTTCTCAAAAGGAACTTAAGAACACGTCCTGGTATAGTATCATGAGGATCAATCTCTCCTGTCTCAAATCCATAGAATGTGTATTTTGCTTTGACTCTCTATACATCATATTAACGCAACCCTCATGGCACAAGTAACTTCTTCACAAAGGGAACGGAGAAGACATACATCTTCCATGGCATCATGCAGGGATAAATGGTCTTGAGAACTCTCATTTACTTCCGCGATGTGCGCCTCAGACGAAACAAAGACTTGATACTCGTCGAGAGCGGGGATAGCAAATGGTTCTCCTTTGGCCTACAATCCATTCAGTTTCGGATCGGACATAGACTTGGCGTTGAGACATCAGATTTCAGTACCTGATCATATGCTTTCTGGATGATATCTGGAGCACTGAGAACGTATTTTATGCTGCTCAACCATTTTCCCCAACGCAACTTAGGTCCAGAAATAAGTATGTTACGCTATCCAAGTTAGTGATTGTTCACATGGTGAGTAGATGAAGCAGGACTTACGGGACGATTGCGGTAGATAGATGCTGTGACATAAAGTCTATTCAGAATGATCAAAATTACACAAGTATCAAACACCACCTCTGAGGTTATTCTCCAAGCACCCGCTTGGGAGCGAGCTAGGTCAAAAAGTTCCTGAAGCATTTTGATGATACAAGTCGAGGTTTGAAGATGGCCGACACGAAAGATCACGAGAAGAGAACCAGATGTATACTGCGTGGCAAATGTCCGAATCTCATTCTCAAAGAACTATTTCCTAACTGGGAAGGTGGGGGCGTAAAATTGTGACTTCACATCAGGCAGAACAGATGAAATTACCGTAACGTACTCTAAGCCATGTCGCGATAGCAGACATACAATCGACGGCGGTGAGATAGAAATAGCCGCTGCCAATTTTCACAAGTGATGAGCCGATTGTGATATTAAGTCACATAAGTGTCGGAGGCAACATTAACTCCGACATACTCCACTACAGCTGTAGATAGTTCATTAAAACTTAATCGTTCCTTCACCCTAAACAGGCATAACAATTTGATGAGCGGGGCGGACTGTTTAGAGTATGAAACATAGCTTCGGTAGTCAGCCCGTTTTAAGAAATTCGCGAAGTTGAAGTGGAGAAAAAGTTCGTACCATTGGGATGAATTTGATCCGTGTGCATGAAGTATCTTGAAGCCTACGATAGTGCGATAAAAAACTCTACGCGTGTGAAATGCGTTTTAGTGTGTGTGCGCATTAATTAAGCGCAATCGATTTATCTCGACCATGTTCCTGGAAATTGCGCACATCTTCTACCGTAGGATTCTAACCTGGAGAGATTGTGTACCGTGAAACCCGTCAATTTGGATGTCATCACAGTGGGATGAAATATCGTTGGTCAAAACAAATATCGACGGAATAATTTTTGTCTAGTGCCACGTGCGGCTAATGCGTTTTTTGACGTTCAGGGGTAATAAAAAAGTGTGGTGGAGAACATGGCACTGGGTTTTCATCATCAGGGTTAGGAAACGTTATTTTCAAGGGTGTCGAATTACGTATGGTGAAGCAGATGTCAGCGTAGCAGTTAGCAGTGGTGCTCTCATCCGATGTAACCAATCTTCTTTCGAATATTAAAGTATGGTTGCAATGGGTATAACGTACATCGACATAGCGCGGGACAGGGACTGTACACCGGTATTGCAGTATTGGTGCAATTGATATTATTTCTCATGATACAGATATTAATTTGCAGCGTAAATGTTATGTAAGAGTGGGATAACAGGCGTGGCGTGTCGGCGTGGTTGCATTGCATAGTTGCATTACCTTGATAGCTTAACTATTCATAGAACGCTTGAAGTAACATCGAAGGGATTGATTTCTAAAATCAGCCTTTAAGTTTAAATTGCTGATCATTGATCAGCGATTCCTTGCACTTTTGTTTAATCAGCCCTCGTAAACATCTCAATTAGCTCAGCTTAGCGAATGTTTAGAAAGGCGGTTCTGTGTTTTTTGTGCTGTGAGTCTAGCCGAGCTGAATTCACCAAGCAAGCATCTAGCCCAGGCCAGGTCAGGGGTGGTTTATACCAGGGTATGCGGGGTATGCATGCGCCTGGGATTTCTTCGTAGGGTGCGGATATTCTCCAACAGCATTACTTGGAATGATACCAAGAAAATGAAGTTGTTAGATTTTCTTGCGAAAAGATTCCCATATGAGGTTTTCCCTGCAAAGTGTAAACTTTGCGAGAAGTTGATTCAAGATTCTAAGGCGAATTGTGGTGTGATTACTCATCTATGACAAGAACACCAGTAGGTGTACGGACTGACGGGTCACTTTAAGAATCGATTTAGAAATACTGTATCTCTTGATATATCTTAGAAATAGTTAAAATGTTTCATGAGAGATTGAACAATGAAGAGATTAACTCTGATATCAAACAATTGAATAATCAATTTCTTGGAAATTTCAAAAGTTGAGAAGTGTCCCGTCAGGCCATACACCCACTGGTGGACCAAGCCATAATCCGATCACTGTGACATTTTGAAACTTGGGGACCAAGATAAAAGGCAAATGTAAAAGAATAAAAAATCTGGGTATTTGCTATATTAAACTTTAAAATGAATACAGAACAACCCAAGCCCCTAAGAGAATCGTAATAAATCCGTCACGCATGTTATAATCTTTTCCTTGACTGTTCCAACCATTCCCACATAACCCATAAACCATACAATATATACAACAGTAAAACTTAACTAAACGTGCTCATAATATGTTCTCTCACGCTCTGGTGTCGTCGCAAGCTCATGAGTAACCTCGTATCGTTGCTTGACCCTGACATTATCCAATGGAAGAATGTTTTGCTCGCTTGTTACACTGCTTCCCCCATCGGTAGGACTTTGGCTGTTCTTCGAATCTCCTGTTCGCATATAGCTGTCTCGACCGGTAAATGTATCAAGTGTTACCCTCAATCTATTTTTCCTGCTGTTCTTGGGGTAGATTTCAGAGCTCTTTGGTGGAGTATATTTGGATGGTTTGACGTTTTCTTCCTTGGAGAAGAGACCGCGAATAGAGGCAAGGCAGACAACTACAATGGCTGGAAGAGAAACATGATTAGATCAAAAATTACAAAAGAGATAGTATGGAGAATTAGCTTACCGATTGTAGTCTCAATGGCAGACCACATGTAGAGCCAAGAGGTATCAGGCATACGGGTCAATGAACTGACGACTGTAGTTCGCACGATGGCGAAGATGACTGTGATAAGAGCAAGAGAGAAGATGATACCAAAAGTAATCTTTCTCTTCATCTTCATCTGTGTACCCCACAACATACTAATTGGAATGATCATGACTATGCAAGTTAGTTAAGTCTAACACAAGAAACAGAAAAGAAAACTTACTCAAAGCATCGGAAACCACATCCCAAACACAGTTTAACTTTAAAGTAATTTGTTGGAAGTTCACAGCAGAGTCCGTTGTACATTTCGTTTCGATCGTAGTCAATGGAACAAACAAACAGTGATATTGAATTGTTCCAATGCAAGCAAAGTAGGTGCAGATAGTGAAAACAGTGATTGGCCACCATAGGAATTCAACCTTTGCGACATGCGATCCAAGTCTTCGAATGAAGAGCAAGAAAGAGAACTTGACAGACCACAAAGTGGAGTAGAAGAGGATAATGACGACTCCAGATGCTTTGGAATAAGCCTCACTGTTGGTAACAAAATCCGCTCCAGGCATTTTGATCCCAGCTGACACGGCCATGAGGTCGAACATCGCTTGGGCATGAATCTGCCATAGTATTGCACTGGCAAGTGCAAGAGCCAAGGCTAGAAAGGCAAAGATATCGTCGTTGTAGAGACTTTTGAAGGTCTTGATTCTAGAGAATGTCCGTAAGGCCATACAAATTGCAGCTATCGCGAAACCTCCCCAGATGACACCCTGAATGATTGTTAGTTGAGGCTTTCCCAGTGTCTGTGGATACAACAAGTGCACGTACCAGGAAGGTTTTCATATCAACCTTTGTTGGCTCAACAGTAGCCACTGAGCCCGAAGTAGAAGTAGACATGGTGTATAATGAGTCAACCTTGAGTAACTTGGTTGTCTATACTGGATCAGTGGAGGATGATTGTCCACAGTACAAAAGAAGAAAGCTTGAGTTTTAAACTCTCGAACATGAAGAGAACGTGGTGCTTATCTACTGCCACTGGTTACAGAGATGCCACATGGAAATCAAACAAGGATGGGGCATAGAGGTGGGGTCTCTTTCATCACAGCCTTTTAGGATGGGGTCTCCGTGAATCCTATTGAATATGCCCACTGTGATCGGTGAACCCACTGTGCCATGCGTTTATTACTGCAAGGTAAGCTCTAAGTTAGTAAGGTCGTAATTCTTGCGATACATTCTGCTAGAATTTCTGCAAGAATCTCATGGTCAGTCGTCTATCTCACGGCCAAAGCCTGTAGAGACCCCAATTGCGTTAGCCGCCGAGCTCATTACCCTGTATGATTCGTGATTACCCCTCCAGATCCTTGGTTTCACTAGTCACAAACTCAAAAAATTACCATCACACAGTATTCTTCTGCCAATTCTTCATTTGTATGCTTATCGGAATTTTGTGACAGGAGGAGTCACGGAGGAAGCGTGTCGAAATCTCATTTCCAACCGCCTGGATGTGAGATCGGCGTGTGCCTTGTGGCCAGTGCGTGTAATTTGTGCAATCACATAGGCCAAATATTTACCTGCCTAATTTGGGTCTAGCTCCGTCCAAGCATGGCTGAGCGTGATACCACCGTGTATGTCGCATATTTCGCATGCGGAGAATTTTAATCGTCGGTATCGCACGATTTGTGAAGATTGTGCTATTTTTGTGCAGGTGTGTCTGTAAAGACCAAAGTTTTGATTTTAAGGTAACATGGTTTTGAAGGAACCGTTGTCTTGGGTTCACAATCCTACCCGCCATGTGTATGAATGATGTCGACACTTGAGCGGCCCGCTCGTCTGGCAGAGTCCCTGACTAATAATATTCAATCGCTTAATACCGAGGTCTAGAATGGCATCTAAACGAGATCATCAGTGGGTGTACGGACAAACAGGCTAATAAAAGAAATTGACTTGTGAATCTCTCTTGATGTATCAATTCGTATACCTTTGGAATTGCTACAATTATTTATTGAAAATGAATTAATCAGAACGTGAAATATAATATCAAACAATTGAAGAATAAATTTGTTCAATTTTTTGAAAATTGAAAAGTGTCCCGTTAATCTATACGCCCCCTAATGGACGCAAAAAATGATGACCTCTTGAACCTCTTGCGTGCTGCATCACTCCATGTTAAATCAAAGCCATTTTATATTGTGGAAGAATTGTCAACTCAAATCAATGACGCAGGGAAACTCTACTAGCCAAGCACAATTCAGCAATCTCGTTATTCTTATGATATCGGGAAAAAGTGTTAAATGATTGATGAAATTCAATTGTTCCTCTCGGCGCTCAAAAAATTGTTGAAAATATGTACATAAAAATAGAGACGAAGCTGTTATAAAGCATCTTATGAAAACTCCCATTGAATCGTTCCTACCCCTTGCTCTCAGTATAGGTTATACTTCTTCCTCTCGGTCAAATCCATGAACACATCCATATTTTTCACTGGACCTGTAATTCCGAGCGAAGGAGTGCTCTCATCCAAGACTGGAAACTTTCCATTTATCCCAGGTGCCAACTTAACATCAAATCTCCTGAAAATAATAGCAACAAAAGCGTAAACCTGCTCCTTAGCCATAACACGACCAGGGCAGTAACTGATTCCACCGCCAAATGGGCGGTAAGATGAATGTTTCAGCATGCCCTTATCTCTAACAAATCTCTCTGCATCAAAGTTCTTGTAATCTTGACCCCAGACACTCTCATTCATGTGTAGTTGTCGGGAAGGCATGAGAACATTAGATCCAGGTTGCATTAGCTTGTTACCGATCATAGTTGGCTGTTTGACTTGACGACTCATCATGGCACCTCCGTTCAATCGTAGTGATTCTTGGAATGCACCATCAAGATTGGGAGAATTGGCACATAGATATTTGATGTCAAGCTCACCGTCCTTCCAGCCGGCTTCCAATTCGTCGCGAACTCGCTCCATAAGAGGGACGTTGTAAACAAGATGAGCAATAAGCCAAAATGAGATGTTGTACTCATTTGAGTTTGCACTATTGATTGTCAGGAGTTTATTCTTGTATATAGGAATCAACGAAACTTACGCCCAGTAGATTAATAAGAGCATGCAAGCTCTACTCTCGATATCGATGCCAACAATTTCCTGTGCCTTTAGAATCGTTCCAATTCCCCAAGCTTGACCCTCACGCTCCTTTTCTGGAAGACGAGCAAATTCGGCCATTGTCTTTTGCATTGTTTTGCGGGCTTTGGCCACCTTGGCTGAAAATATCTCAGGAAGACCGAAGAAAACCATCCAGGCACTATCATTGAAGTCCAACATGTGTTGTACAATATCCGGATTGAGCTTGTGGAGAGCTTTATCAAACATGGAAAAGGTTGCAGCTTCCACAAGGGTAGATCGACAAAGAGCTTTCAATGAGACCCGGCGAGTGAGACCATTCCTGCTCAAAGTACAAAAGTCCATCTTTGGTGGTTGAAGTGAGTCTTTGAGTGACACGATGAATTTCTCTGACATTTCCGTCATGTGTACACCAGGGAGTAATTGTGCAATGTAAACTTCCTCAATGAGTTTGACTAGAGATAATTGCTTTGGGTTGACTGGATTCTTGTGCATATAGCATTTGTCTCCAGGAACGGGTACATGCCATGCCAACTTCAATGCTTTGCCAGTGAAGCCAAAGTTAGAAAGAATTTGAGACAAGTGACCATCCCAACTCAGAGTGGCTACATTTCTGTAGACTTCTGCGACATCCTTGGGTCCTGTAACAATATAGAATAATTGCGAAGCCACTTGAAGTGCGAAAGGCTCGTGAGTTCTGCCAGTGTAATCTCTGAAGGGCCATTGTTAGTATCATATTCCAGAAGCAATAATATATTAAGACAAATGAGAAGATGAAAATGAGAAAGTTAACATACAAGCCACGCTCGATCAAGCTATCAGAATTCTGGAAGAAACTAAGACTGTGTCCTAGGACTAGATGGTGTTAGTGAAGGTTGAAGTATGCAATTAGAAGATCACCTACTTGGGATCCAATATGGAAGTTCGATGGGGTCTTGTGGTCTAAGGTATGGGCGAATGGTGAATCTCACAAACGCCATGAGAGAAGCCAAGTGCCGAACAGTGCTGCTGCGAGGAAGTACTGTGAATACTCGCTTGTGGATACAAATCTCCAAGCTGCGTTGAGAAACATTGTGAGATAGTCTACTCTCTGAAGAGCTGTGTGGACTTGAGAATATCTGGAGCAAAGACAATATGCGTGTGAAGACAAAAGAAGTGCTTGATGATCTCTTCAATTGGAGATCCAAGAGGATCGACACAAGTAGATATACTTTCTCACTTTTGCCCCCTCCACTGTTGAAGATGATATGTTCAGCCCCTAAGACAGGACTTTGCCGATACTAGTCGCATAGTGCTGATTGTGCTATGGGGTTCTTGTTCAAATGTCCAGATGCGCGGTTACCAGATTGGCCCATCACCTAGGCGTCAATTTGATATTGAGAATCTGCCTTGAGATTCAATCACAAATCACTATCACGAACTATCATGATGCGATATTACCCAAATGGGACATTTCCCGGCCGTTAATACTTTACGAGATCAAGGTTGTCTGCATGGACCACCTCTTCACATCAAATTTATATTGGAAGCTAAAATCTGCGCACTAAATTTTAGTGTCACATCAGGTGACAGGGGGGTCTAAAAATTCTCCCCTTGTCGAATTTTATGTACACAGTACATGATTGTCGCCTCGTAGATAACTTGCGTGTCAAAATGACGGGAGAGATAGGTACCAAGCCGGATATACATCGTTTACCCTCAGGCTTCAGCATAACTTCGCCTCTTATGCTGAGATCAGCTAGAAGCGATACTATCTCCAGTTAGTCAGGCCTTATACATTTCTGGAGGTCATCATGATATCCGGCAAAACACCCCCGCTGGGCAAACGGTGAAGGCTGTTGGTCACTCATGCCATGCTAATGCAATTTCTTTTCTACCAAGAATGGAGAATGGTGGGTAGGGGGTTCACAAAATTCATGAGGTCCAAATTGCTGAAGTTTCACGTCCATCTTTGATTCCATATACAAAAAGCATTTTACGCCACCTGACAAAAGATTCACGACTTCAAGTGGTTCACGATCATCTACCAGCCATGACATTGAATCAAGACGAAGCTCTGTCCAGCAAGGACACTGTCTCTATCGATAAAGATATGGGCGCTGTGGCCATTACGGATGTTTCGAGCCCCGCAAGTCTCCAAACATTCGAGTCCGATGAGCTCTTTCTTCACTCATGGCGTCTGGCGGCTGTCATCGGGTCTCTATGCTTGGGAATCTTTCTTCTAGCATTGGATATGAATATTATCGCTGTTGCAATTCCCAGGATTACATCTGATTTTCATGCGTTGAATGATGTGGCCTGGTATGGTTCAGCATATCTTCTTACCGTTACCGCATTCCAACCTTTGTTTGGTAACCTGTACAAATACTTCGATCCTAAGATCGTTTATATGGGATCAATAGCCTTATTTGAATGTAAGTACCTTCACCTTGCGAATCAATTCAAAGGTATCTGACATGACTTAGTGGGTTTCTATATTATGTGCGGCAGCCCCTTCCTCCAGTGTTCTCATCGGAGGCCGATCTGTTCTTGGTTTCGGGGCAGCGGGAATCTACCAGGGAAGTTTGGCCATCGTCAACTTTGTGGTAGAGCTCGAAAAGAGACCTATGTACCAAGGCATTGTTATCAGTTCTTTTGCTATTAGCGTGTGTATTGGCCCTGTGCTTGGTGGTGTCTTCACTGACAAAGCCTCCTGGAGATGGTGCTTTTGGATGTAATCGATTCCATTTATCCTTGAAATTCAACAAACACTAACAAAGTTATAGTAATGTACCTATGGGCGCTGTTGTACTTGTCTTCATCGTACTATTCTTTCGGATTAAAGGCGTACGAAACTCGAACCGTGCCTTAGATCTTCCAACAAAATTGAAGCGTATGGATATTGGCGGAGTCCTACTATTTCTCGGAGCTATATATTGCCTTCTCCTAGCATTACAATGGGGTGGGCAGACCTCTGCCTTGGAAATCATCAAAAGTTATTGGATTATTTGTTGGCTTTGGCTTACTCATAATATCCTTCGGCATCCTGCAATGGAAACGAGGCGAACATGCCACAATTCCCTTGCGTATCCTCCGACAAAGATCAATCCTGATGGGCAGTATATTCCTCATGACATTTGGCATGATGAGTTTTGTCTATGCTTATTATCTACCCATTTACTTTCAATCCATTCAAGGCGTCACAGCAATCCAAAGTGGCACTCGATTCATCGCGATAGTCCTTCCTCAAATCATTGGCCTGTCACTTACTGGAGTTGTGGTTACAAAATGGGGGATACTACGTTCCATATATGATTCTTGGAACGATTATCGCAATGGTCGGTGCCGGCCTTCTTACTACGATTGATACCAACACTTCTACGGTCAAATGGGCCGCATATATGGTAATCAATGGATGGGGAACTGGAATGGCACAGCAACTTCCATATACCGCGTTGCAAATTGTTTTGAGTGAAGAAGACGCTCCTACTGGAAATGCCATTGCGGTATTCATGTATCAGATTGGTTCTTCCGTCTCTGTCTCCATCGCACAATCTCTCTTTCTATCAAGATTACAGACCAGTGTTCCAGCTCATACCACTGCTGTCTCAGCAGAAGCGGTTATTAAAGTTGGCGCCAGTGGCTTACAGGAGTTAGCCGGTGGCTCGGAAATTGTGCTAACTGCCTTGAGAGAAGCATACACCATTGCTATTAGAGATGCTATGTATTATGCTTTGGCGGCAGCTTGTTTGTCCCTGCCATTTGCTTGTGGAATGCAATGGTTCAACCTCAAGAAGGTCGCAGAGGAGAGGAGAAGAGCAAAAGACGAGGAAAAGCCAGTTGGGCTAGAAACCTCGGTCATGATGGACAGTGTAATTGGTTCTGAGAAAGTTTGAATTGTATGAATACCAAGATATATTTTTTTAATAATGTAATAGATTAACTCTACTATGCTCTTCCTTCACCGAACCTTCAGAAAGAAATATTGACTTTGCCTTCACCAATTTTCACCAGATGGATTAGATGAAAAGTCATGAGCATAATTTTTCATTTCATTCTGCGTGTTGCTCTGTAGTGATGCAGTTGATCTGTAGTTTCATTCATAAATCGTAATTTCTGTTGCGCCATCCAAAATGCAAATCTCTCCTCCCAGTTCCTATGACCCATTGCCATTCAGCCCATCCAGCCAATGAAAGATCAGAATGTAACCCAGACCCTAACCTATAACCAAAACCAAACCGCAGCCATAATCGTAACTATATTCCATATTCCCTTCTGCCCCCATCAACGCCATAACAATGTTAAGACCCCCTAGGTCTAAACTCACAAAACTACATATGTAGTTGGTCGTCTTCGAGAATACCAAATTCCCGTCTGATACCAGTGTTAGCTTCACATATCTATGAATGCTTTCAGCGCCATAATACATACCAAAACGCAAAGGATAGTATCTAAGAGGCCATACTTAGTCAAAATTTCATATAACCAGACACATAAAAATCACAAACTCACAATCTAAACCAGTCCAAACTTTCAACACCGCGAATGCCGCCTTTGCAACGATTCCGAGAATAATTAAAACGATGCACGATATCTGAATTGGAGAATTGTGTGTAGCTTCGGAGCTACCAGAGTATTGGGAAGTAGAAGTTGAGTGTTGAAGTTGGGTGAGGCGCTCATTGGCGAGGAGAGCGGGGAAATGCATGTTGGAGTATGATTACGTGCGTATGGATGGGGTTCAGGAAAGAATACCCTTTTCAGATATGATAGCAAAGCACCAAGTATTTGATCTCTTGTTATACCTCTGGCTTTTTTAAGGTTTCCTCAGAGTTGGAAACGGCGTTTCGAATAGAAGCTTGGCGTGGCTTGCTTGTGATATGATGTCGATACCTAGTAACAAACAGGTACAGCCTAGTTGGTATCAGATATCAGATCGGCATCTTTAGGACACGGCTGAGCACGGATGGAGAGAATTGGCGTATGGTAAATTTAGCGAAGCCACATGTGCGTGAGCGGGGGCGGGTAACCTAGCCTATCCACATAGCACAGTGTATAATTTAGTGTACGGAGTAGTGGGTAAGAGATATAGCCCCGGCACAGTGGATAATCGCATCACAGTGAATGCCCCAGTTATTAATGCTCCAGTAATTATAGGCCCCCAACTTTGATTCTGCACCTTTACCGACTAGCGTTCACAGCGTTGACGAAATAACTTCTCACCCCATTATTGAATATCTGTGTTGAATGAATGGTATCGGTAAACTCCATAAACGGTATCTAGTTGCGTAACTACCTGAATGGTGATTTGCTCCGGTTTCTGTTTGTGATTTGGGGGCCGCAAATACATGTACCGGCTATGCAACGGCTTGTCAAGTGCTTACCTAGTATGCCTCATCTTATATTGGACGATTATTATTGACGGGTGCTCCCTTATGTTACTTTATTAGGACTAGAATGATTTAGTCTATCAATATCTAATTATATCCCTAGGTGAAAAAGTATAATACATAATGGCTCGCGAATAATTTGAACGACAACATCACATCACCCCATAATCACATAATCACAAGCAAGATGCTTAGTAGCTTTCCTAAACCCTTACCAGTCTAGACGCGAGGTTGATTTCTCTTGACCATCCAATGATCTTCATGTAATTTGTTTTAAGCGCTGTGCCTCTTGCCTACTTTCACCATCATTTCAATTCATCAATTGTGGATACTCCCATACGAAAAGTTCCATATTTCCATTTTCGGGCAATAGGCCCGAACAATTGTCATCAACACCAAAGCTTTGAAATTATCCTCTTCTGGTTTGTGAAACATCTTCTGTCTTCGTCAGTCTTTGAAAGTTGCTGCCTTTTGTTACTATTCAGTCGACAATCATGGCTGGTTTTTCGTTATTCTTGGGTTTCTTCATCCCGGTGGCAGGATGGATTTCATACGTACTTTATTCTTTAGCTGTCAACTACAACAAAGCTAAGAAAACTGGTCTACCGCTCGTTATCTTACCTATTGATTCCGGTAATCCTCTGTGGATGGCAGTCGATACCAGAATCTTACCATACTTCAAAAATCTACCCTTCACCAAAAACTTCACTCGTTTCAATTATCGAGGATGGGAAATTCACGATCGATACAAAGCTCACCAGGAGATAGGCGATGCTTTTATTCTCGTGACTCCGGGCAAAAATTGGCTACAACTTTGCAATGCAGAGACTTTGATTGATATCAATGCACGTGGTAGAGAATTTACCAGACCAACAGAGATGTTGGCGATGTTTAACGTGTTTGGGCCTAATCTCGGAACGACCGAGGGAACACAATGGCAGCGTCATCGCAAAATCACAGCCACTTGTTTCAACGAGAACAATAATGAAATTGTTTGGTCGGAAGTCATTCGTCAAGCTACCGGAATGCGAAAATACTGGTCATCAAAGTCGTCCATCAATACCATTGGCGATGATGTACGCACATTGTCATTACACGTGATGTCTAGTGCTGGTTTTGGAAAATCATACCCATATCAAGGAGCAGAAGAAGAATCTGACACTCAAGGCTCTGCTAATATCAGAGATGCATTGAAATTGATTTTGGATAATTGTATCGCTTTGGTTGCATTAGGTCCAAAGAATTTGGATAAATGGTGGCTACCAAAAAGTTGGAAGCCACTTCATGAAGCAACTGTCACATTCCAAAACTATATGACAAATGCATACGAAGAAGGAAAGAAAGCTGCTGCGGACGGAAACACACATGGAAATAACTTGATGAATTCACTTGTACGTGCATCTCAAGCGGAGAGCAAGGAAGCTTCAAGCCAAGGTGGCTTGACGGAACAAGAAATTTACGGAAATATCTTCGTCTTCAATTTTGCTGGGCATGATACCACGGCCAATACACTGGCTTTTGGTATTGCCTTGATTGCTACTCGTCCCGACATTCAAGATTGGATTGCCGAGGAGATCAACGAAGTATTTGGTGATCAAGACCCAGAAACTTCGAACTATGCAGAAATATTCCCTCGTCTGAAGCGTTGTTTGGCTGTTACTGTAAGTCATCATATTCAACCAATTCACTAGGCCCATAACCATTCCAACTTATACTGACTATTCTTACAGTACGAAACAGTCCGTCTCTTCACCCCCGTAGCCATCGTCAAAACAAGCGGCCCCGAACCCCGTGAACTCAAAGTAAACGACTCAACTTACATCCTTCCACCCCACACCATGATCATCCCCAGTTACTCAGCCATGCACACTCATCCCCGTCACTGGGTTTCCAATTCTCTTGCTTGGGAACCTTCTCGTTGGATCATCCCCGCTTCACCATCATCTTCAAACCCGGCCACTGAAACCTTTTTAGAGTTTCCAAAGGCAAACAATCCGTTCATTGCTTGGTCTGGTGGTGCAAGAGTTTGTCCTGGGAGGAAATTCTCGCAAGTTGAGTTTGTTGGAGTGTTGGTGGGTCTCTTCAAAGATTACAAGGTTAAGCCTGTACAGCTTGAGGGTGAGAGTGAGGCGGATGCAATTGAGAGGTTGAAGTTGTTGATTAAGGAGGATACCGGATTTAGATTGCTATTGCAATTGTTACATCCGGAAAGAATGTTCTTTAAATGGGAGAAGAGAGTCTGATTGCCTTGTGTGCGGGGTAAGAAGATGTTTTCGTGGAGGATGGAAGGGATATATATGCATTGTAATTATTTAGTTGTAAAGGTATAAAAGGCTCATATTATCCTCCTCACAGTGTGTATCATGCTTTATCTGTACAAACCGAACACCCAAGAATGAGTTTCGGGTCGTCTCTTGGGTGAATTACAAGTCGTGATTACACAGAATTTTACTTTGAGCCACGCAGGTTCTTTAATCTATTTCTTATCATCGATAGTCCGGACTCATTGCCGTTTACGAGTGCAGTTCGCTGTCTATCTGCATGATCTCTTATCATTCACGTTACTATCATTGTCCTTTTATTCCAATTGTGAATCACTACAACATTCCAACTACGATTTTCTCTTGTGGTACAGATTTCAAGGGGGGGCATACCGACGAGATCTAACCAACCTTCCCTCCCTCCTTCGTAAGCATTCTTGAAGAGAACTGTGAATTCTATATTTCTCTCACCTCAGGGATAGTAGAGACTTTTATATCTCACTCTCGCATATAAATTGCGCAGTCAGAAGGCTTACAATCCCGTCTTCTGAATTCTCTTCATGTAGCATTGTAAGCACTTTCTCACACCACTATTCAAACTTACACTCGTCTAATCTTTCCCAGTGTTGCGTTGACTCTCTGAATGTATAATGCCCTGGGAGCTTTCGATATTTTTCCCTTCTCACAATAAAACATTCGAGATCGAAATTCTATGGGGAAGCTCTCCGATCAGTCTTACTTGTCAATAGTTTCTATCGCAAATCTATTTGTTATCTGGATCCTGAAAGGGGGAGTAAGTGGTTTCACTCGCACAGTTTTCACATTGTATTGTCATACTCTCGCGCTTCCTATCATCTTTCAATCTTCACCATTTGAATTCACTTTGTATCATTTCCTGTCGTTCTATATCACTTACAATAAATCTTACCATATCTCAACTTCAATCAGTAGAGTAGACCCCCGATGAGTTGCGAACCGTAGCAGTAGACTCATCTAACCATACATTGGCACATTTTGCTTATTTTGGTCCTATATCTCTCCATATACTTTCTGTATTCATTGTTATACTTCTCAAACTTTGAAAACTCTCCGTCCAGATTAACTCTGGTTGATGTATACATATTGGGGAAGTCCTCAAGCTTTTTTCCCTCTAAAAGCTGAGTGATACTGTGTGTTTGCTCTGTGACTAGTTACATGGCGTGTCATGCGGACATTTTTGCTCAGAACGATTTCTTTCGTCTAATATAA